ACATTTTAATAAACATTTTACCATACGTTGTTAGGTATTGTACCTTAGGTATATTTAATATTATACTTTCCTACATCAATCACAAACATAAAGATATCTTTCTGTTATCGTGATATAATTGATAGCAATAACATTTTTCCTGCTATATGGTCCATTATTCAATACACTATTCGTAAATAATAAATATGCGTAAAGTCAGAGAAACAATATGCTCATTCTTGATTTGTGATGAATAATAATAAAAACTATTTTTTCTGTTTAAAAAGACTTAAGCATTTATAATTCGAGTTACTGGACGATCTGCCATCGTGTTTTTCAAACATGTATTTAAAAAATAAAAAGGCAAATAACGTTAATTTCAATTTCTAAAAATATAATATAAGGGCTAAAATGTCAATTAAGGGGGCTCTGAGGAGTTGAGTCCATACAGCTGTGTATGGCAAATTGTTTGATCATGCTATGGAGCTTCCTCTTCACCTAGAATTTGATCCCACTTTACTATACGCCTATGAATTAATGTGTGCCTCGGACCGTGTCTCCGATTCGCGTCACGCCAGTGGCAGGAAGGAACCACGGCTACCAATTCGGTGGTGGATCGGAGGGTGGGGGTGACTACGTCCGTGTGCTATTACCATTATTTAGGTGTGTCACCGCTTCCGCATCCGGTCGACCGGTACCAGCGTGCAGCAACGCTGGGCATTAGCCCAGTTAAGTATTAAAATTTAGTTAAAATGTTAAGTTAATTTTAACTATGTAAATTAACTCATTAATTATTTTTTGAAGTCATATGAATTAAACAAAGTTGTCAATGTAAAATGTTTATACAGGTAAATTTGGTGCAAATAGGCTGTTGCAAAAAACATACCTTTTTTATTTTGGCGCAAATAGACTGTACCCAAAAGGAATTAATTTTTTTTGGCCCAAATGTGAAATGGGTGATGCCCGATAGCCCGGTAAACGCATACAATCACACTCACACTCTTCATGATTGACGACAATTAATGACATGGACGGCGGCAACGAAATTGCATATTGCCTAAATAATGCGCCTTATTAAAGACACACGAGCAGGCACCTCAATATTATTTAGTCATTGTTATCTCTCAAGAAAATGGGTTATTTATCCAATGCGACTTGTAGGAAATGATCTTAACGAACAAAAAATTAATCAAATCAGATTACACCCTACGACGCGTTAGAGTTTTTCCTGTAAAGCGTGTTTTGAGCAAAAAATCATGCATTTAATTTTTGGTCGGTGGTACCATTGACATGTAGACATGCACTGCGTGCGTAGATAGCCCGGTACCCGAATACAATCACATTCACACTAATCATCATTGACGGCGGCAATTAAATTGCATATTGCCTAAATATTGCGCCTTCTTAAAGACACACTAGCAGGTCCCTTAATGACAATTTGACGAATTATCCTTTGTATGAGTATATAGTTAAAGTATTCGATCTATACTTGCAAAACTATATATTTTCCCATCTAGGTATATATTATCATTTTAGACGTTTAAACATTTTGACTATAAATGTAATTATTCAAGGTCAATACTTAGGGTGTTATTGCTTATTGTTTAAACGAGGAAATTAAAATATTACGTTTTTTTTAAAAACAATCTGTTAATTTTAGTACTATAAGCTATATAGTATATAGTCTTTAGTAAGTACTTGATTAAAAAAACTTATATTTATTAATAAATGAATATGTTTATAGGTAGCCTCATACAAAACTAATTTTAGTTCAACAAATAAATAGGTAGGCACCTAGATAATAATTTATGAATTAAATAGGTAATAATAATTTAAACAAAATAATAATATGTAATAACCTTATTAAAATAAGATAGGCAACATTCCTAGCACCAAACCGTAGTTTTAACAACGTACACCTAATGAAACGCCTTATCGGATTTAAATATAAAAACAGTAGGTTTCATAATAAACTTCTTTCAATATTATAATGCTGATACTCAATGAGTCATAAATAAATTAAATTTTAACATCTAACAAAGGAGCTAATACGTCAAATACTTTAATGTAGACATTAATAATATAGTCTTGTAGAATGTAGATAATAATATTATATATTATTATAGGTAATCACTAATCAGGTAACGGTTTGCCGATTAAAAACGGTTGCAACCGTTCTTAGACATTTTACTAAGTATAACATTAGGTATAGGTACTAACAAATTTGAACCGCGGAAAACAAACCCACGGAAAAAAGCCCAGAATAATAAACTAACGGAAATAAGGCCCAAAAAAATAAACACACCAATGAAAAAAAGAGCCCAGAAATATAAATATGAACACAATATTATTTATACGTCATGATATTATATTGTAATATTATATTAGGTTAGGTATAATATATATCAAAACATCAGTCTTACGTATATACAATATACATACTACTATAAGTTATAAGTAAAAAATCATAAGTCTTAAGTATATACATACTAAAATGTATACAAAAATTACACAACTGTATACAATAATAATACAATAAGTTAATACAAAACAGGTGGTAGTATAATACAGATTATACTTAATATTTTAGCATGTATATACCTAAGACTTATAACTTATAACACAATATATCGACTTTCCAGTTCAAGACTGCAACAACTCGAGTTATAACATTATTGACCATGTTATCATGGCGTATACATAATATTGTGTTCATATTTGTATTTTTTATTTTATTTACAATCTATATTTTGTACAATTAACAATTATTTATTATTTTCATTATAATATATTATTATATTTTGTTATAGGTACATGGCAATTACTAATTAGGAGTAGAGTATACATAATATATGTGTTCACACTTATATTTATATTTCTGGGCATTTTTTCCCTTGGTGTGTTTATTTTTTGAGCTTATTTTCTGTTATGTTTTTTTTGTGCTTTTTTGTCCGTGGGCATTTTATCCATGTGATTTTTCAAATGTATATGCAACCGGTATGTTGGAGGGACGAGTGTACAATTCAGGCCAGCCTAATACGGCTACCTAATAGTAATATTTTGGCATGATATATATATTTTTGACAAAACGATTTAAATGTTGGTACCTATATCTACTTATTATCTACTTTGCACATTTGATGTTGGATAAGTTAATTATAGGTGTAAGCTAAGTACAAGTATTAAATTTAATTTAATCTAGTCTGTGACGTGAGTTTGACTATATTAATGTAGATAATAGTTTCGTTATTTACCTGTTATTATATGAAATATGATTATTCACTACCGTATATGTGACCTTAGACTTTGAGAATCTATAATATTTTATAAATCAGTTAAATTATGTAATATTTCATTGTTTCATGATTGTTAAGTGGCTTATTTTAATATTGGTTAATATTAGTTCACACACAGGTAAATGCGTCAAATATCAATATTGTTATTTGTTGTAGCTTGTAGAAATTTGATTAATAATATTATAGTCTCAGTAGGGGGTCAATGATAGCAATGCGGTAAGACAGTCTAGTTGTACTGATCGTTGGACGTTGATACGGGTCCGAAAAGGGTTTAGCGGTTAACATAATACTCATGTGCGAAATAAAATATAAATTAAAACCCGCGAAATTCCGTCAGTAGACGTCTTTTTCCTATTGGACTTTTAAACAACAATATTAACAATAATTTAACATAATAAGCAATAGTATTACATATAAATAACTATGGGTATTGATATTTAATGTTGTTGTGAAAGTATATTATATACCTACATCGGTGTATTAAATTATCACTACTAATCAATAATAAATGAAGATTTTAATTAATATAGTGGGTAATTATATTATTAAACAGTAGGTAGGTAATAACAGTTTATGATCCACTAGCCAATGAAGACAGTTAGGTACCTAAATGTGAGAGTAATCTTACTAGGTAAAGGCCCTAAAATAAAACAAAACAACTAAAGTTTTGTTGCATATTATCATTATTGATTTTAATACTGTACGTTGTACCTACGATATAATATAATAATATAATACTTGTAATGTATATCATTGTTGTAAAATACTAAAATAATATCAGTGAAATGCACTTCTTGGTATTTTGTTTTCAAATTAGAACACACTTTTGTTGGTTTTGAGTTTAAAAGAGTTGTAGATAACTTATACTTCGATATTCGTCAAAAAAATTTTGAATCCGCAATGATGTGGGAATATTTGAAAAAATATGATTTTAATATTTTAAATCAATGACAATAATACAGACAGGTATTCAACCTGTCCAATGTAAATGTTATTATTCATTTACGTATACTGTATACCTAGTAGTAGTACTGTACAGAATTTTTTTGTTGTACTTTTGCATGTATACTTAGGTCCGATTGTATAGCGATGAACAATTAGATGATTCATTATTAAATATTATAGAACATAAGTACCCATTTTACTATCTACCTACTAATAATACGTAAGAATAATATAATATTTGATATTATCGACATTCAGCCGGCAGTATATATTATTGATGTTTATACTGTGTACAGGATGTATGAGACATAAGTGCATAATATTTTACATAATGTAACGTTATCATTTATATACATTTACGTTATCTGTCTATTTGGGATAACTATACAGTAATGAAATTATTATAAATAAATTAATGACCGGTTAATAGATATACAACCCAAGGCAAAGTACAAACCAAAATGCCACCTCTCCAATAATTATTATTCTATGCCGTGCTCGAGATGCTCTCCGCCGCGACGACCGCGTACGTGCAGTTTTGAACTTGACACTCTATCGGGAACACAGTTTTTGTAGCGACGATTATCGCACTTACACCTCAAGGCGCCTAACTTGGCCAAGTCTCGTTGGATCGATTCTGCTCATATCGACGACAACGACGACGACGAAACACTTTTCGTTTTGCGTGAGCAGTATATACTTGTAAGGTAATTCCTTTGATTTTCCAATTCAATGTTAGGTAACGAAGAGTAACCGAAATGCCATTTGTAGGGTCCAACAATGAAGCTGAAGGACGTGGAATTCGCACCCCTGTGCGTGCCATTCAAGCGGAGGCTCGAGACGCTCGCGGCTGCCGGATGGATTTACTTGGTGGTGTTCGGAGGAATGACCGGATGGGCTCTTTTCTTGTACATTTTGATGGCCACACGGTTTTGGTGGGCAGCACTCATATACGGTTTATGGATCTATCTTGACCGGTCTGTAGCTTGGAATAGCCCGGATAGGTGAGACGTGAAATAAACACGACCAAAGGTCATTTAATGATTTTTTAGTTAAAACAATTTTATATTATAACAATTTCAATCTATATTCATAGCAGTAGGTACGTGAATATAATATACATTTTTTTGATATTATTAGCACTAATCGTATTAACATTTCTAAAATTATTTTTTAAACTATACTTTCATACACCTAAGAGTAGGTACTTACAATAATTATTACTGAATTAACTTCTTAAAAAAAATTATGTTTAGTGTTTATTCTAGAAATGTATATGGTAGGTATAAACTATAAACACATTACGTGTATACAGTATAGGTACTTCTAAGACTAAAATATATTAAAAAAATAAATATAGGCTACAATTGTATTAAGAACAGAAAGACTTTAATATTTTTGGAATGCTCATAACATTAATTACCTACTTGTAAAATTATCATTTTGCATAATATTGGATTATACGTTTATCCATTAAAAAAATGATAAGTTAAAAATATTGGTAGGTACATGTGATAATATCTATACAAAAATTATGCAATTTTAAATTGTATAATTGTAAATATTTATTAGCCATTAGGTTATTAACAAGATAGATTTATTGCCAAATGGGTATTATTACCTTGACAAACAATTGTACATTCATTAAAAACCTATACCTACTGCATGGCCGTATGGCTATACAAAATTTAAATTTTAACTTTTTTTATTAAAATCTTGTACGATTTATATAATGGCATTAAGTTATTAACTACCTATACAAAATATAAATGTACATTCGAGATTTATGAAATGTTTTTTTAATAATTACAACAGAACCATAATTTTTAATTTATATTAAGTTTATATTTATTGATATCAATAAATCGAATAATATATATTTTTGTTTCACTACCTAATAAAATAATTATCTTTATTTTAAAATTAATATCATGTAATGTAATTTTTTTTTTTTAATGTTCTGTATTGAAAAATAATCAGAATAATGTTAATTTTCTGTGTTAGTAGTTTTTAGTTATTACTTAATATTGGTACGTAATAGGTTAATATTCAAATATTAAATAAATGGAACCAGGTGATTGGAGATATTAAACTTATTTCACACCAAAGACATATTATGAATGAGTTGATCAATATTTAAAATTAATTATAACGCTTTATGAAAATGTAATGACTTAATAAGTTATAAAATTATATTACAAAATCGTTTTTTATAAAGTACATCAATACACACAGTTATAGTTAACAGTATTTTAGATTCTAAGCGGAGAGATGAATGGATTGGTTTTACAATGATGTATGTTTAAAAAAAATTGGTTTTGTGTCCTGAGACACATTTTATGATAGAAAAATGCTTCGACGTTTAATTTCAAGGATTATTTCTGGTAAAAATTTGATCTATTATTAGAATCTGTAGTATTTAACGATTTTAGATAATTTTTTTTAGTTTAAAAATATTTAAAAAAACTTTTCGTATATTGTTATCTATGTACACAATTAATTTTTCAAAATATTTAGACTAATTTAAAGTTTTTATGCTACGAACTTACCCTTTCAGGTTTAAGGTACCTATAGCCTATAGGTACGTCGGTATTGACTTATAAGTAAATATAATAGCTACTTACATTATATGAACTGATTTTATAAAAATTACCACTTATATATTGCATGCGATTTGTTTTTAGTAAAAATTAGTTCATCATAATATATCGTACTTACTACTAGTAAAAATATAATATTGATTAATAGTGTGTAATATATATTATATATATAAGCTATCAAACATCTTTATGAATATAGGCTGACGGAATGTCCCCGCTCAGAATTGTTATTAAATATTTAACACATCCATTACTACAAAGACCTAGGTAGGTATTCAAATATTCAATGACGAGGAACACTAAATATCTACTATAGAGCATAATCGACTTTCACGGTTTTTCTTAAAGTCTTCAATACCTATTTATTATAAATTAATGTATATACTTGTATTTAAATATATTTTATTAAAGTGTATGTTATCATTATAGATTTCGCTTCGTGAGAAGATTGGGCTGGTGGAGACACTTTAAGAACTACTTTCCAGTATCTCTAGTAAAGACTCACGATTTGCCAGCTGATAAATCGTATCTATTTGCCACTTACCCTCACGGTGTGTTGTGTGCTGGATCGTTTTCCAATTTTGCGACAGACGCGGGACAATTTTCAGAACTATTTCCTGGTCTCACTTCGTATCTCATAACTCTCAGTTTACACTTTTGCATGCCATTTAGCCGTGAAATTGGCATAGGTTTATGTGAGTATATTAATATTTTATTATGAAATATTCCACTCGTTTATCAACCAATGAATGAGGTGGCGATATTACTTATTGTTTTCGAGATGGTAATAATATACTAATATGGTATAGTAATAGGTAGTATTAATTAATATTAACATATCGTTACAAGCACAGTTATTATGCACTGCAGTGATAAAGTATATTTATATTTTAAATGTCATAGCACTTGGGTCTAGGACCCACGCATCTCAATTTTCGTTCGTATTATTTTTGACTTTTTATTTTTATCTTTAGTTATAAATTATACACCGTAGGTATCATATTACTATATTATACAATATCCATGTAAATGGCCATAAACGGGCATATGCTTCTACATCTTGATACAAAATGTTATTTTTATTTTTCCCCATGTAATGACTTCATGATTATTGAATTTTAAATTACAGCTTAAAATGTTCTATTTGTACATAGCCCACCGCTATTACCTATCAATTATTTTAGTACACTCTCGTCCCACACCGAGACAATGAAATAATATTCGAGCCCGAACGACAGAATAAAAACAGACAATTTTGCTGGACGCCAAATATTTCATTGTTTTATTGCACTTTTTTTTTTAATATGAGTGAAAAGTAATGCCAAGTATCTAAATAACTCGTGTATGTAATTCACAAATCAGCGTAAAATGATAGTTATTATAAGAGTATAATATAATGTATATAATAATTAAAAGATTGTATAATTTGTAACAATATGGTTATTATTATTTATTATTTACTATTTTAGTGTTGGGTATTATATTAAAGGGCGGAATTTTAAAATCTAACTTGGGCGGCATATTCGTTAACGCGGCACTAAGACTGTACAATAATATCATTGACATATTGTATACAATGCAATTATATATTGATATGAATATATGATTACGATAAATTAAAATAAATAATCCCATTTCACAGGTCTTCAAGAATCATCTGAAAAAAGTTTGATGAATTTATTGGATAATAAGAAAGGGAACGTCGCTGTTCTTATGGTAGGAGGTGTTTCCGAAGCGTTCAAGTCTTTTCCAGGGCCGTACCATCTCATATTAAAAAATAGGAAGGGATTTATCCGAGTGGCATTACAAACTGGGTAAATTTGAAATTTCAATATAAAATAATAATTTTTGTTATTATTTATTAGAAACATTAATTTATAGGGCGTCTTTAGTGCCTGTGTTTTCTTTTGGTGAGACAAGTGTCTACGGAATGGGCCAAGCGGAGCCAAATTCATTCTGGGAAAAAGTGTTGAAAGTAATCAAATGGAAAAGCGGAAATAAAGTACCAGTAGGACGTGGATTTTTCCAATACAGTTTTGGTATTGTGCCCCGCAGACATCCAATTGTTACTGTTGGTGAGTAATATGTATAATTAAAACTATAGGCATTGATATTATATTTAATCAATGCTATAGGTACAACTTTATTTTAAGACTTAGTATTAGTAGCAAGTATTACTGTATTATAATGTTCAATTTAAACTTCCGATAGAATAGTATTTCTTATTGTTCGTCATTAAAGTATATTAGTATATATATATGTTACAATTTTATTGAATATTAAGAAACCAACAAAAGTAATCATAACAATTATAATATTATATCAGCTTGAAAGTTTTTAATGGATCTTCAATAAATGTAAATTGTTGAACCTGTAATGTGACTATATAAACTGACCAGTATTAGGGGGAGTATGTTATTTGCACGAATCTCGACGTCGAAGAGGTACCGATACGAAATAATCGAATACAATGTCATAAAGATAGGTACTCATTTTGGTGCAAATTACAAACACTGTTTTTGATTACATATCACGGTGCAATAATTTCGGGTGAGATTTTTTTCGACCAAAATCGTACTTTTCCCTTTTCGGGCAAACCTAAAAGTTTTATATTTACTTTATGTTATATTATTTTTAATGTATAATCTAAATCTAAATATACAAAAATCACGCAATCAACACGTGTTTACTCCAAAACACTCCAAAACTACTCAAATAATTTTGATAAGATTATACTCAATGTGTGTGATATTGTCCAACTTCAAATTTGAGGTAGTTGTTATATCTGAATAAGTTGCCCTTCATTTTTTGTATTGAATATTTAAGTTAAAATTTTGAGATTTACGATTGGAATTTTTGTTTATAGATGGTTGTAATTGGCCACAGCTTAGAGTATTATTATAATTAATTGTTCTAAAATATTTAATTCAATAATTATTGATATAAAATATTTTTAAAAGTATATGAAGCTAGCATTTTTAACGAGCAAAGTAGTGCAAGGAGTCAGCTAGTATTATATATTTATATATAAATTTAAACTATATATGAGTATCTAGGTACCTATATGACATGTTAGTATATAATATTATTATATTTAATAATATATTGATAATAACTTAATATTATTATTTATTTATAATGTATTATATACATTAAACTTTTTCTTTTGGTCAATAAGTGAATCGGCATAAAAGGTAAGGGCACGATAAAACGGCCATGATCGGACGAGACTGATCATAAGACGAGACTGACTCGAATGATAATAATTTTCGTGGTTTCTGACTACCTCGTTTAACCTTATCTGGTAATAATTACAAACGTTGGGATTCGATCCGTTGTAATTGAATGTATTTATTTTGATTTAAATCTAACGATAGCCATTATTGACATATTTTGTGTAATTGTTCCTTGCGAATAATTTTATCTAACTGTGTATAATTCCCTTGTGAATAAAGCTTTTGAATGACGTTCTGGTTAAAAATAATAATAATAAATAAATATTTAGTAAAATTGAGCAATACATTATGTATTTAGTATTATAGTATTTATTCATAGTATGAAAAAATGAAAATAGCATAGTCATTTATAAAAATATTAGTTACACCATAAATAAAAACATAGTTAAATAATTAGATATGTAAATTCGTTCTACTACAAGATATAATATGATTACTATAACCAATGTAAAATAGTATGTACGTACATTATGTGATTATGTTTAATGCATCTTGGAATGGTGTTAAAGGTTTATTATTTTCATTTCGATTCTAGTTATAAAAGTTATAAGTTATAACCTTCAAAGCAGAATTTTTATTATATACCTATCATAAATATTTGCATGAAAGTACCTAATACAAAATAAATAATTTTAGGAACTGAGTTTTTATAATTAAGATTAATTTAGTGACCTCCAAGTTGATCGAATACTTCATTTTTGATGGTTTTTAAGATTAACAGGACAGGATACGAACAATGGTGCACACTGCACGGTTTATAAAAAGATCCACATCGAAAAGTCAACGAGAGATTGTGGCGCCGTTTCTTTGTATTTGTCTTTTTTCATCAGCTTAATACACTGTTCTATAACTATTCAGTGAATTATTCAATTTTGTAGCTAAAATCGCTCGTTAACTTTCCGTAACAGATCTTGTTCAAATGATAAAGGTTAGTTTCCAGTCCTGTTAATCTTAGTCCGTGGTGTAACCACACCACTCATAACACGCGCCTTTAAAATTAAGAATAATTTTTCTTAAAAAATCTGAATATTTTGTTTTTGATTATGCCATGTTGATTTCCTATAATAAACCATCCTTTCAATTTTCATGCATATTTTTTATACAAAATAATTTCTATATTTCATATTTGGCAGGTGTTCCGCGATGGCTCACTTTTTTTTTTATATATTAAGTACCTATATTTTGAATGACAAATATAAAATAGAATAATCGTCTGAATATTTTCTAAAAATCTGAATTCCTTCCGTTTTGTGTTTTTTCACTGTGAATTTTGAATCTATTACTACTATCATCTATGCAAGCTAATTATTGAAACATGAAAGGGACAAAATCATAGGCGTGCGCAGACATTTGTGGCAGGGTGGGCTAAGTCAATAAAGATTAAAAAACCTGAACTCTGATGGAAGAAACAATTAAAATGTTACATACTTTAATTTACCTACTCATAATCATCCACTATTTAAGGCATAAATCATTCATATATGGTAAAAACGGATAAAATTATTTTTTAAAAATTAAATAAGAAATATTTTAATTTGTCAACATGCACAGTTTTAAATTTTAAATAAATACAATTCCGCAATCTGAAATGGTACCTAATATGTTATCAATTTTATTTTTAAAGACATTAAATTTATTATTATTTATTGTCATTGAGTATCAATGTTATTTTTACCTACCTTATGATTTAATAAATCAAAAATCGTGATGTTTAAATTATGACATGACGATGTATACAAATTTCAGTCCGTCTCGCAGAGTGAGCCATGCCCCCCCCCCTGTGCTCAAGCTTATGGACAAAATACAATAGAAAATAATAAATATAATATATTTTGACCAATTGATGCGGAGGGAGATTCTAATTTAAATGGCACTTTATGAATTTGTCTCTTTAAGGAATCAACTAGATAACCTAATAATATGACCACCAATCTAGATAATAATATTATATAAATTATTTTTTTTTTTATTTACAATTACTGATATTTGCTAATTAATAATTATAACCTAACCTTTCAGTTTAAATTAATATTGGATTTAAAATCTTTTAAGTAATTAAACATTAGTACATTTTTTTAATATGTAATATTGTAATGCTGTCTTTTCTGTTCACCTTTACTGTTCACCTTCAACTTACGAAATAAACAAAACTTCTGACCCCATAAATGTGATAACTGATAAGATATTACAATATAATTTTATCAACAATTAATGTTATTTTCAGTGGGTAAGCCAATTGATGTACCAAAAATTGCTAAACCAGAAAAAGAAGATATTGAAAAGTACCACCAAATATTTATTGACGAGTTGACTCAACTATTCGAAGAACATAAAACTAAATACTCGAAACATCCCGATGAAATGGAGTTGGTATTGGATTAAATAAAATAAGTTATATTATATTTTTTTACAGTCATAATATTTTCCTGAAAATTAATTTATAGTTATCTGATATTCTTAATGTTGCAACTGTTTAATTGTTATTATTGTATTCCTTTAAATATTTTTATTTGTATTTAATTTAGTGATTTTACTTAGGTGAATGTGTCTTAACTGTAATTGAGCTCAATTTTATTTTTGTATTTGAATTATAAAGTACCTGCCAACCTAATTCAAATTATAATTTATGTTTGTTATATTGTATAACTGTATAAGTATAATACAAAGAGCAGTTAAAGTCTATTGAGAATTTATTAACTATGATATAAACTGTTCAAAATAGATACCTAGGCACAGGTCAGAAATATCTATGTTGCGCACTTGCAAGACGGCACAAATGCCAGAGATACGTCCTCATAAACAAAATGGTGCACAACTGATGGTGAAAATGTCTTATTGATTAGGATATGATTTAAAAGAAATACACCGTAGGCTAAAATATTTTTTTTTTAAAGTGAGCGAGTGGTGGATCTCTTCTTGGTGGATTAATATGAGTTGGGACGGCGATTGATGGCATACGAGAGGGATCGAGGATTAGAATATTTTGTTTCGAATTGAGTTTAGACTGGAATTTGTTGTACCAAATGTTGTTATATACTTACTTGGTAATTAACTAATTTGCTAATTTACTAGGCTGGCTAATCGGTATCGTATAACTGACTGTTGTGATCTGTAAGTCCTTATGCAATGTATTGTTTGTTCATATAACACACGCCTGACGCCTCTATAGTTATTTTTCGAAGACATATAGACTGGAAAGCTTATATATAAGTATTATATTGGAGGGTCTTGTTTGGCTTGACTCCAAATTTGAATTCCATGTGACCAGAGAGAGGATATAATAAAATTGTTTGGTTAGGTCATTAAATATATACATATATATATATATATTTTTTTTTTATTGAGCTTAAGCCCGGCAACTATGGCCATTAGCTGTTTTTTGTTTTTTTTTATTGTTTGTAGGGAGGGGAGAGATTGAAACAGTTGGTTGAAGACATTATAATAATATAATAATAATGCAGGAATTGAAACCGATATTGGATACCGCTTTAGAATTTCGGTTAAAATCGTTAAAAACCGAAATCGATACCGAAACCGAAAACAAAAAATCAATGCCGGTAATCAAAATCGAAATCAAAATAAAACTGGTATTCAAAAACAAAATCAGAAATAAAAAAACCGATATCCGAAACCGAAATCGAAATCGGAAAAAATATTTAAGGTTTCAAGCCCTGGTTGAAACATGTGTGCTTTTAGGTTTGGCAGAATTTCAATATTGGACACCCGTAGGTTTCTGCCATGCTCGGTCGGGGGACGGTGGCCTCACTCTTTGGGCAGTTGCCTAAGAGAAGCCGTCCGTGGTCGAGATTCGAACCATCGACGGTACGCGTTGGAACTGACGCCGTGTCCATTCGGCCACTCCGTCTCCATAAATATATATTATAAATTAAGATAAATGTACAATACATTTTTTTTTTTAATAGTATAGGTGCAAAGTGCTTGATTGCTCAAATGTTTATTTTACATAAATATGTATGACAAAATAATGGATAATATTCGAAAACCATAATGTTACAACTTTTTGTTTTTTTATTTTTTAAAAAATGTAATACAAAATAATTCGTTCAATAATGTGGGTAAATTTGTAATAATTAATAATAGTAATTTGTATTATAATGTTAGAGGCGTGAGTGGCATTATCATTATGTACATTTTATTCATTATAATAATATGGTGTTTCATAGAGAAATTGATATTATACACGAAAAATTAAAATTGACAATATGTTTCACTTTTCACTATAGCTATTTGTGAAGATAAATTAATTGTAATCAGTGGTGTATATCCACTATCCAGTTAGGGGTGGGGGGGGGTCCTGGGTCTCGAACAGAATGGAATAATATGGAATAATATAATTATTAATTCATAACTCACACGTATTTTTATAATATTATACACTTACTTATTTTTTAGAACCCCCAACAAAAATATTGAAAATACGCCACTGATTGTACTATATATTGTATTGGCTAAGATACCTACCTTAACCTACCTATTTTAATAATGACATTTAAATGAAAGGTATGAATCCTTAAAACATAAGCCATTGATGTTCCAACTTTATAGATAAATATATAATATTACTTAAAATTATATTGAACGCTAAAAATAAACTATTGTGTAATGTAAAATTATACTATTGATTAATAGTTAATAAATCTTGTTCATAACATCGTTAGTAATCTAGATCAACAAGATATAATTGATATGTGTGCACTGTGCAATTGGTTTTATTGTAATGATTTTGACATTATAGATGCAAAAAAATACAAACTGATGGAGAAAAATGTCGCGAATAGAATAAACATTCTAAATAAAATCTGTAAAACAACAATAATAAAATATTTAAATGTTAGTATCAAGTATTATATTTTACACCATATGTATTTTTTTTATATAAAATATTATGTAACCTATTTAATTATTATAGGCACACACACAAAAACGTTAACATACGAGATGGCTACTTGTATGTGGTCTGATAAAATATAATTTTTTTTGTTTCATTATATTCATTAATTAGAATAATTATTTAATAATAATGTACTTACTTGGTCTTGCCACTGATTGTCGAGTTTACATTGTTTATAACTAATTGATGTAAAAGAGACCGAACTATGAAGCGGTATCCACGTCTGAGGAAACCATTTACTGAGTATGTTATCCAATTTTTTCCGCCACAAAAAGCTTTTACGAGCAACTAAATCACGCATCTATAAATAGGAATTTAATTAGCTTAAAATTTGTTTGGTGCGGTTTTCAGTAGAAATTAGGTAATGGTATTATCATATTATGTCATAATAATTCATTACTGCAATAAAAAATGCGTATAAAATCATAAATTGGTCGAATTTGGTCAGGTACCTGTCATAGTATGTCTTCGTTTATTTTGAAGACAATAATATAATATACAAATTACATATACGTTTAAGTGTTAGATTATTTTAGTCTAAAATCGATTATAGATTATGGAAATATAGTATAGTACAATTCGCATGAAGTCCACCAGCACATTTTTGAATTGCAAAAAAATGGGTAAAATTGTTATTCTTATTGATTAAATATCGTAAATCTATCAACAATACCTATTATAAGTATTTTGTATCTATAATCTATGAATGTAATTCACTCAAAATATAGTCTTTTTCCTGTCAATAATAATATATTCTATATAATTTTTGAGATTCTAATATCTTACTTCATTACTAGTACAGTAATATCTGTAATATAGTATAATTATTAGATACCTACCTATAATGTACAACATATTACAGCAATTATTTATTAAAATTACATAACTTATCATCAATTATGCACAAAATAAACATAATATTAATTAATAATGATAAGAATAGTCTTTGTGATGTATTTTGATATTTTACTGTAGTTTGGGTTTTAGGGCCGGGTTGCTTCGAAATCTTAAAAATACTACCAAACCTAACACTTTAATCAAAATTATAATTAATATAGATCGAATTTATTTGTTGTACAGTTGTAGTGTAGGTACACACTACACAGTAAGTTTTTCTTAAGCTTTAAATGTATGATTATTTTAACTACCTAGTTCAGCCTATATGATAGTATACATTTTCTAGATAAGCTTAAAGTTGTATAATTATATAATAAATAATAAATTGTTAATATAATAATATTTTATATTAGAATTCTGAACGGAGCGAGGAAACTAGTATGGTTTTACAATGCTGTTTTTTTAAAAAACTTTTTTTTATCCTGTATACAAAAGGAGTGCTTCGATTTAAGCATATAATATCTTATCTTTTAGCAAATAGGATCAAGATGGTACTTTAAAGAGGTCATTTTTCGATTTTCTGAATAATTTTTTAATACCATAGGAAAAACCACCGACAAATTACAAAATACCGCTAAAAATGGGATTTTAATTTCTAACGATTTGTCTTATCACCATAGAAACGAATAAAAAATAATAATATTATAATATTAATTCAACTTATAGGCTATAATAAATAATAACGATATATAATATCCAGACTATCAAACCGTCTCCGTTCAGAGTCGTTTTTCTTATACAATGATATTATATCATTGAATTGAACACAGTCTATTGACCCACTTGTAACCTACTGTACAGCAGAGCGACATCCACTTACCCGCTTTTTTTTTTTTAATTTGGCTTTAAGCAAAATATTCAATGTCTCTAAAATGCATTACAAAAAATATAATTACTTCAATATAGTTGTAAAAAGCTAAATCACTGATGGCTTCCGCATCTTCAATTCTTCTCAATGAAAACGTTTTAATAACAGTTTTTAAATCATGGTCGTACTCTTCGAGTAGTTGGTTAAAAATTGTACAATCTTCGAAGCCCTTAAAATTTAAAGTAGGTACAGTTATAATTGTATAGATATTATTTAAAACATATTTTCTTTTGGATTTTATTTTACACTTACAGCATTCATTCCTTGACCATAAAAAGGTACAATAGCGTGGGCAGCGTCTCCCATCAACAGGAAGTCATCATTAATGTGGTATGGATTACACTGTAAGCAATATACCTATGATAATCCTTTATAAATAATGAATATACACTAAATATACATTTTTTGGCCGGCAGGTCTAATAAGGAAAAAGTATTTAATTTTAAATTTTAAAAAAGCACCGGCTTACTTTAATAGAAATAAGAGTTCGTGCTTTTCCATTTGTCACTTGGTTCAATAAATGTTCTGGTTGAATCAAATCCATAAAATCTTTAAAATACTCGTTAAAAAATCGTAAAATTTCTTCATTTTCTGATTCTAATATCAATGGAAATTGATCCATTGGCATGAATAAAGTGCAAGTCCAAGATTTATCTTTATTCGGTAATGCTATCAACATAAATGTACTTCTCGGCCAAATATGAAGATGTCCTGGAGTTAAGGTATCCTACAATTTTTCAACGTTATTTCTTATATTATAAAATATAATTTTTAATTTTGTTTGTCCTTACTTTTGTTGCAGCTGATGGTAAGCTTATTTCAAAATAACCATGATCTATGTATGTCTGTGAAAAATTAAACATTGGCTGACGAATCATATGTTTACGAACTACGGAATGAGCCCCATCGCATCCAATTATTACGTCTGGTTTTACAGTTTCTTGTTGGTTTTCTAATGATCTAAAAGAAATATGAAATTATTTATACAAATGATCTTACAATATTAAATCTAATCATAATTAACTTACTTTTGAAATGTTAATAGTTTGGTATTAAAATCAACATCGACGAGTTTATGCGAAAAGTTTAATTTCACATTTGGATATTTTTCGAGTTCTACAAACAAAATGTGATTATTTTTATTGTGCTATTTAAATAACCAAAATATTATACACATAATTACTTGTTAATAAAAATTCATTGAGTTCTTTTCTGCTAATAGAATATAAACACTGGAAAATATTAACTGACTCAATTACTAAAATATTAATTGTTTTTTTTTTTTATATTACTTATCATAGAGACAATAAGTTATCTTGACTTCATCAACAAAACTTATTAATAGTACAAAATAGAAAATAGATTTTTTTTTAACATTATAAAACAAACTCTGGTGATTTTAATATTTTAAATAAATTGTTTGTACTAGGAAACTAATTTTTAATACTTAGGTATACCAAGTAGTTTGGATTCTGAGCGAATGAAAGATAGCAGATGTATTTTTAATCAAATGATTCAAATATTTTATTTTTTTTTTAGTTCTAAATGGTCTGATCCTCCTGTTTACCATGTTTTTGTTACACAATTGTTCTAGAAATTCTCACAAATTATTTATTATATTAATACACAAATAGGATTACATTTTGAGAAAACTGGAGAATTTTTGGGGCGTCTATAAGTATATTGAATAATATTGTAATTTTTCTCGTTACTCCATTACATTTTCAATAGGGTTTCACTCAGAAAAGTTTTAGTTCGATTTTGATTATTTGAAAAATTGTGACTGACTTTTTAAATGTATTTTATATTAGCTACAAATAAAAGAGAATAATCTTTAATGACTAATAATCAATATTTAATTAGTAATAAAAATTATAGTTTATACAAATAGTTAATACAAAAATGTACACAAAAATGGTACCTTGGATTTGTTAATATCATACATAATGCTATATTTATGGCCATCAATTGAATGGATCATTCGACCATACATAGGTTCTGTGAGTTCTTCAATAACAATATTGTCGAGTCCAATAAATCGGAGAGCGTTAATGCCTCTTTCTGACAAAGCCAAGTTTATAGAACGTCCCGATGTTGATTTATCAAGTCTAATATCTGTAATAATATTATTTTATATAATATGTAAGACGTAGGTACTTATGCACACATAATAAAATACTTATAATTGTTTACTGTTATATTTTATTGTAGAAATAGTTATTATTTAAACTTAAACAATTAAATACATATTTATTTTTCCATGCATCCATAAGTATTCCTATTTTTAATGGTAAAAAACATTTTGATATCACTGTTAAAATGTTTTATTTCATTTTGAGGTTCATTATATACTATCATTTTAAATCAAAAGAAATATTGTGGATTTTTTTCCAGGTGACAAATTTAGATGTCTAATAGGGTATAACCAATTTGCACCAATATTGACCCAACACAATATAAGCAAGATTTGTAATATGGATCAATATTTTTTAAAGACGTTTATAATTTACACCAGAGTTCAATTCAACTAGTTTATTCTTTTGACACTACTTACGCGTTTCGATAGTTGAGTACGAGATACTGAAATATAAGAAGTACCTACTAACACAGAATAATATTCCCAATTTAACCAAATTTTGTGTTGCTACAATTTTATATTTACTCGGCCAACGGACAATGAGACGTTTCCATCTTAGGTACTTACCGAAAATATTAACTTAATAGACAATAAATTACGACGTCAATATACAAGTATATAGAAATATACAACAAAATAAACTATAACAATTAATATTATAATATATTTTTTTTAATTGTTAAGTTATCTTAGTTGTATACTAGTGTCTTAAAAAAAAAAAGTTTTTGCTTATATTTGAGTCGTTGGGTCTAGTTTACTATGAGCCCGATCAACGAGGTAACCTATCGACGAAATAATCTAATTGGTACTCGATAATCGAACAGATACTTAGCTACCTATTGTGTTACATATCTTTATTTTAGCGAACGTTACAGACTTCCATCACTCACCAGATATATGAGTAAGTATTAAGAAATAATAATTTTGAATAAAACGAAATTCTGAAAATTTCAAAAATTTTTCATCTGCGATTAGTATTAGTTAGAAAGCCGCCTACCTATATTAGATATAAAGGAAATTATCGTACATAGTCATTATTATGAATCAATTTCATAATGAGTTCTTCTTTTAATAATGTTAAATTCTACAATATTAACTTGTTTATATGATGAAAACTAAATTTTAGAAAGTGATTCACAATGGCTTATGTCCATTTGGCATTGTAAAATTATTATAGTGTTGATAATTTTTTTTAACAAACAAAATTAACGACCCTTTAAAAAACTATGTGTTATAGTAATATAATATATATTACATTTTATATTAGTACTTGTCAGACAGTTGGTATATGTTTCTATAAAAACGGTTTTTATACCAACACTAATTCAATGAAACATGTAACAGATACCTTAAATATACCAACAGCTTATAGGTATATTAAATGATTTATAGGTAGTTGTATAAAAATGGTATTAGACAAAAATAGGCAATAATATATTGTTTTGTAATAAACTTATTCACTATATTATATTATATTGTGTACTATATTTAAAACTACATTATAACAATGGTGAATAATTAGAGTTTAGAGTATACCCAGGTAATTTTCAATATCTAAGGAAACGGATTTACATGTTTTAATACTTGAAAATAGTTTACCTGTTCGACTTTCGTAGACGGTAACGTCATATCCATTTTCTGCCATAAAACATGCACACAACGACCCAACCTAAATAAAAAGACATTACATTTTTTAAGATTATTATAACTTAATTTTAATAAATATTATTTACTGGTCCGGCTCCAATAATAGCAATTTTAACTCTTGAATGAGTAAACATCTTATCAGGTTTTAATGTACGTGAAAACTAAATTGAATTGAAGACTTCTTACTAGATAATTTTATACATGATATCGTAATTTATAATATACGTTTCAAAGAGGGGGAATTGTTACTGTAACGTTGTAAATAATACCAATACACCGATCAGGCATAGAAACCGTAAAAAACGTATTGGAACAAATGTGAAGTTGTATCCATGTCCTCTGAAATAGTATATCAAGGGGTGTGTGTGTATGTGTGTGTGTGTAGTGTAGTTACCTACAGGAGCAGTAAAAACAGCTTCAATTTTCAACGGTAGTTTTCTAGTATAAAAATGAATTTCGGTAATACTTTAGGGAGGTCAAAAATAAAAATGTCCAGTATTTTTAAAAATAATTGAGAAAAACAAAACAAAATAAGAGGGTAAGTGGGTGTCGGTCTGCTGTACACAGGGCTAGATTTAGGATGAGGGGGCCCCAGCCCCCAGGACACATATAAAGTTGACAAACTTACTGCAAAAGATACTTATTTTGTTACTATTCAATTGACTGCAAACTAGGTACTTATTAATTGAATCTTGTAGAGTCCCCGTGCCCCCCCCCCTATACAAGCGGGTCACTGCAATGGATGGTGTTAAATTTGAATTCAATGTTATGATTTCAATGTATACGAAAAATGATTCTGAATTAAGGCGGTTTGTCAGTCTATACTATAGACTCTATAGGATATTATTTTTTTTTTTTTTAGATTCTGAGCGGAGCGATTCCATTTACAACGATATATGTTTTTTATTTTTATTTTTGTGTCTGTATACACGATAAGTAGACGAAATAATTTTACGATTTTCAACATCAGTATAAATTTTTTCCGGTGGGACAGCGAATCTAGTTGGTACTTTTGGGAGGTCAAAATTTATAGTTCACGGTAGTATTCAAAAGCGCCGGGGAAAACGAAAAATAAATTAAGAAGAAACGGGATTTTTAAGCAAAATCGGTTTTCGGCAAAACTGAATTTCGTTTTCGGTGTACCTCTAAAACAAATGACCATAGATGACCATAGATACATTACATTTTCACTTTTTATATTTATACTAGCGTTTTCTATACACAATACAATTTTCAAAATATTTTGATTTGTTTTCAGTCGTTATTAGTTTCCGATTTTTTTAGTTTTTTTTAACACAAGTCTTTTTTATACAAGGCTTCTAACAAGCAAGTTGAACAATTTTAAAATATATATTTACAATTTTTTTGTAAGTATTTAACGTTAGAATTTTGAAAAATACGTAAAAACTAAAAATCACGAAAATTAGCAAATAATTTTGAGTTAGAAACTCATAAAAATTTTTCTTCTTAAATCCAAGATTTGGGAAATTTATTTCAAGATTCCTCATAAATCATATCTAACTACCTAAGTTTTTCTTTCTTTATAAAAAAAAAAGACTACAGGACCGTCAAATAAATTACATTTATACAAGCATTTGAAATTATAAATTGGATATTCTCCCGTAAATTAACAAATCCTCACACAACGATTTTCTTATTTTATTGTAATTCAAAAACTAATAACAGTGGATACTTGAAATTTACACCAATTTTAAATGCTTATTTTATCATTTACTATACTTGATTACATTTTTAAAATATTTTGATTTGTTTTGAGCTGTTTACGGAGATTTTCAATTTTCTTAGTTTTTTTTTCCTTTAAATATAAAATTTTAATTTTAATACAAGGCTCCTGATATATTGTTACAATAGCAGTTGAAAAATATTCAATACTTAATAAAATATCAAACGTAGGGAATTGAGACTTGTTGCCACTACGTTTACAAAGTATATGTTTTTAAGACATTAAATAATAAATACCATGAACATATTACACTGTTCTTCTGTAAGTGTTATAGATTGATAAGTTAATAACTAAGTCTATATATTATATGTGATTATAATGGCTTAAAATATTATGCTATAAATGATAGAGATGCTTGCATAGTTTCAGTTTTATATACTAAGGCAAGTTAGCTTAGGTTAAGTTATATGTATGAGTATTTAATTATTTATTTATTTCGTATTAAATTTATGACGGTCAATGCAAATAATAAGAGTCATTATTATTGTGTTATGGACATTTATATTTACATATTTTTATGGATTGTAATTTTCACCAAAATTCAAATCGATTATTCTTTCGATAGTATGTTAAGTACAGGGTACACGTTTTAATAGTAGTGTAAAAGATATTGAGATGATATGTAAAGTTATAACACTAATAACTAATAGTAATAAATAATAACGAATAACTTACACAGAATATTCCATTTAAATTTCTTATTCCACTCACACCGACATCGTTCAACAGTAGCGTCAGTATTGACTTTAACGATAATAATATAATAAATTCATTATTTTTTGTCAAAACCTAATGAATCTAATACTGTGTAATAATACAACTACGACTAGTAGTTAGAAATCCCGAAAAATTTTTGCTGCCATTCGAGTTCGTTTAGTCTCGACATCACCGAGAGACGAGAGTACCGTCGAAATAATCGAATACATGCAATATGCATATTATAAATAGATACTCATTTTGGTGCAAATTTCAAACACTATTTTCAACTACCTACATTGGTGCTAATTACATAACTTTATTTTGGTGCAAATTATAAACACCCATTTTTATGTTATGTGTGTACTGAGTAGTGACTATAATAGTCACACGCCAACTATCACGCCACCGTGACCGCCTCCGTTATTGTTGAGAAGACCCAAGTTGACGATAACTGCTTTCAACAGTTTATATATGTGACACGCAGTGCACTCCACCCTATGGTCTTCACTTTACATAACCATTAGCCCTAAATAAAATTAAGTGTTAATAATTTTTTTCAATATCTCTCCAACATAAGAAATTGTCTATAATACCTATACAAATAACTTAATTAAAACGAAGGTACGTCATCGACAGTATCTATACCTACTTATACTTGTATATTTCTAAGTTCTAGGTACTAGCAACTTTATTTTCCCCGACTTTCGTGTAAGTTGAGAACGACCGGTGTGGTAATGTGGTATTTGTTTTTTTTTTTTTACTAAAACCATAGTCTATAGAGTAGACATCCATGGAAATCGCTTCTACGTAGGGACTCGCTGTAGCGGCCAAGAATTGGGCGTAGGTTGTGAATCGTGATGAAACTGTAAATTTTCACCATAACTCGCTTACCTACTTAATATATTTTAATTCTGAAAATTTAAGGAGATATTCAATATTCAAAATATTTTCTCAATCGCCATACTTTTTGTTAGAAATAATTACTAATTGCTTACAAAAATTAAAAAAATTAAATTAACAAAGACAGTTATTAAGTAAGTTACTGACCAAATTATAACAAAAAGTTTTATACAAAAAAGGCAGTGAAAAGGCTTAAATAAATGAATAAAAAAACAATAAATAAAAATAAATGTAGACATGTATATTATATATTTAATTATCAAAAATACTGTAAAATTCAATGAAAAAAAGGTGCTCTGCTATACAGTAGGTTACAAATGGGTTACTGTATAATGGATGGTATTAAATTTGAATTCAATGATATAATATCGTTGTATAAGAAAAACGATTCTAAGCGGAAACTGTGTGTCAGTCTAGGTATAAGACAAATTCAAATAAATAAATAATATTTTAAGTAAGCATACTGTTTGCTATTTCTACTAATGTGGGAACGTTTAAAAATTAATATATATTTAAAGCCTATATTAAGGTATATTATTAGTTATTACTATATTATTAAGGTATTATTATTACACCTATATTATATTATATGTGTATATATATATATTTAACACACTTACCCATTATTAATTTTTTTATTGATCTTAAGTATCGGTAACTATGGCCATTAGCCATTAAATACCTAGTTACGTCTTACATTTAGTTACACTATAGTACAATAAACCTATACTTACCTATTCTTAAAGTAAACCCAAAATATTTATCAAAAAAAATCAATATGTCCCACAAGTATTTATTGATACCAATAAAATAAAACCCCATATATTTTTTAAAACCTAACTCACAACATTAAAATTGAAGTATATTAATTTGCGTATTTCGTTGAAGTTTATGGTTACTGCACCACTTCTATGGGTCGTAGTGTGACATATATTATGTATACCCTTATAAATTATAACCTTTATAGACGGGCTATCTTACGAGAATAGAATTATTCAAATCGGACTGATAGTTCCTGAGTTTAGCGTATTCAAACAAATTATCTCATTAGCTTTATAAATAAACATATGTTTATAGTTTGTCTTTTTAGTGTACATAATAAATTTGGAATGTATAAGGTAATTAAATCAATTAACTTTCAAAGTCTAATTCTTATAGTATAAAGTAGGATATATATTTAATACTAAAATAATATTATTTTCCAAACAAATGCAGAATAATATAAACTCTTGTAATAAAATATAATAAAAAATCTATCAATTACATATTGTTCTGCTTGGTTGTTTTGTTCAATATCTCAATTTCAATGAAACCATACTTACACATCATATTATATTATGCTGTTATTGTTGAGAAACATGATCTAGATACTTTTATTCTTTTAGTGACTCATTTAATTAATATAACAATACATTTTACGTTCCTATAATCGACGTTGTAGTGAATACGTGAGTAATTTATTTATTTATTTTTAATAATTGTACCCTATGAATGACGATGTTCAATGAATTCGATTCCTGTACTAAACAACATAAAAATATATTTTTCTTTTCAGAAAAGAGCCTACAAAATACAAATAATTAACACTATTGTTTTTGTAATGGACTTTTTAATAACAGTGTAAAATATACTAATAAATAACATAAATATACAATAAGCTAAAAGATAAAAAGTTAAAAAATCAAACAACTTATAGATTAATGGTACATTTATTAGGTTGACGTTATCTATTTTTTTTTTTTTGTTATGAATTCCAATTCAAAAGTGTTTGCAAATTATTTTATAGTTATCCTTGACTCTTGAGCATATATTTTAAAATCTCGGTAAAATTTCAAGATTATTTCTTAGGAATGGATATAAGTATACCATAAGTTAAACTTGTTATTAAGCGTATGAACATTATATTAATATAGGTAGGGAATTTAGTATTTAAATAAGTAAACTATAAACTTTAGATAGGTGCATTAATATTACAAATAGATCTATGAATTTCGATCAAATGAAACGAAAGCATTTGATTTTTCGTACAAACCACGGTATTAACTTACACTATATCAGGTAAATTGTTATTTTTGCCAATAGGGTCTCCGCTATTACCGGACCGTTTTTCAATTTTTTTTTTTTTTAGTGAAATTAGATCTAATAATTCATTACTTGACTGCAATACACAACTTGGTTTGTTGAAGATAGCACGATCAGTCTGCATTTGTATGAGATGTAAAATTGAATGTAACTTGGCGGCCGTACAACACTGTTCGAGCTTGCTCAAAACTCGCACGGGTGTAGGAGTGATTAGCGGCGGCGGTTCCCAAACAGACTATTGCCCAGGCACAGTACGCGCGTTAGCTAGTCATGCGGCTGCTGGTCAGTACCAGTCTTCCGTTCCAAAAAAAAATCGTAAAATATTAACAACTTAAATTAACGTATTGACGTACGTAAAAAAAAAAACTTATTCTAGATTTCAGCTCTTTTCCGCCGCCCTCGGACTATCTATTGCAATATTTCTTCTCCGACCGTCGCACGAAACACTCGTTGATTTATCGATTCTCAAACTAATATGATTCGATTCACGTGGCACGGCTTCCTAGCCGTGATCGCGTTTACCGCGATCGCATTCCAGCAGCACGTAACCGCTAAAAAAGACTTACCAGTCAGCGGATCCACGGCTTCGGCACCAGACCCGCCGGCAGCCACGTACCGACCGAAAGACCACGCAGAGCCGATAATTGAGGAAGTGACCGCCAAACAGCTGGAAAGGGTGTTAAACGAAAAGGACTACGTTGCCGTATTTTGGTGTAAGTAATGCGATGACACACATTTTTATTGGAATTATATTGCGTTATTATACCACCTAGGTATTTCTAACGAGAAAAGTTTATAATATAATTTGTGTGTGATTTAAGATGTAAAAACAAGAGGTTAGGTTACTAATTACACCACGTGCACAGATTATCATATTATTCTTATTTTATTTACGTCCAGGTGTATAGCATAAAAATAACCTATAAGTTATGTTTAAATAACTTAATCTGGAAACATAAATCAAGAGTAGAGCAGAACGACTGGTAAATCAAAGGATTTCAGTGAGTAGCGTATGTCAAATGGGTGGATGTCGATAAAATACTATTTTAGTACCTATTTTACAATATTTTGAGTAGGTAGGTATACAAAATACAAATATGATTCAATGCTACCTTCACTTAATTTCAGTACATGATTATGTCGCCTCCAAAATTATGTATTATAAAATGTTACGAGAGAACACTGGAGTTAGAGCAAACTTGTTCAGCTATTTGGCAAAATCTATTAATCTTGCCCCAAATTTTTAAGTTGGAGAGTTGGCAGCTGAATATATTATGAGTCACTGGCTGGGATTTCAATAATAGGAAAAAAAATTAATCTGTTTGAATGAATTGCCAAACTATTTTGTTAAAATAACAGAGATTTGGTTATAATTATCGAAAACAAATTTATAACAACTTAAGCATTAAAACTGTTTAACCAAATATTTTCATAGAAAATTCGTAAAATCAAGGATGCGAAAAAATCTGTATATATTAATTGTAAAATATGTATGTTAATATTCAATGCCAAATCGTAATATGATACGACTTTTATGACGTACGTTATTATTAAACACAGTGTTTGTTTTTATATAACTTAATGTATGTAAAAATATATGTATGCGATTTTTTATTTGAATGATTTTAAACAGATTTGGTTTTGGCATGGGATAAAGTCAAATATCGCTAATGGAATATTATTATAGTGTCAAAGAATAAAATAGTACACCATTAATACTATATACTATACTATATTATGTATATCAAATATAAAATATATATATTGATGATTTTATTAATAGCCCTCCTATAAAAACATTATCGTTTATATAAAATGTAACCCAAAAGTTGAAAGCCTCAATACGAAGGGCGCGCGAAATTTTGAAAAAAAAAATAGCATCATAGAATAGTGGTTTCTATTGTTGGCAGTGTTTTCGAATTGTTTAAGAGCTGACCTTTCTAATGGAAGTATTCCGGTGGAGAAGAGAGAGAAATTTGGATTGTTAAACGCGCGACGGCCATGGTATTATTATGGTTACACTATCCCCTGACTGCTGTTGACGATTTTGCGGAGGCCGAGCGCCGGAGATAATAATAGCACACGCCTGACTCCATCTGAGGTAGTGTGGACCGTTTCATTTCATCTTTGCTGAACTGACATCACGCAACAGCTGTTTTTAAATGTTATAATCGGAAAAACCTCCGCTATGACAATTTATATATGTATGGACTATGGGTACATATTTATATTTTTAGGGTTTTAAACGTTTTTACTGTTTTATTGCAAATATTGTTCCTAGAAAATATAAATAATTACGTACTTGCCATATTTACACACTCGGCGTTCTTTTTTTAGACCATTAAAATATTAAACCATTGAATACAAATGAAAAATAAAGACAATTTTTCTAATTTCTTACTTAATTTCCAGAAAGTATATTATCAACGACAATTAATGAAAATTAACATTGAATACAATTGACACAATTGAACTATTTTTGGGTAGAACGAGCTATGCTCAGAATATGTAGATGGGTAGTTACTAGTTATTCCAGTGTAACAATTTATGAAAAATTGTTAAGGTAAAAACTAATAATACATAGCTCCAGTACAATACTATTTTAATATAACTTCGGCAAAGTATTATCATATAATAGGATTATTGTTAATTAGTAATTACCTATCATAATATAGTTTAACGTGACAAATTTCTAAGAGTTATTTTTTGTAATTAAATAAATAAAATATTATTATGAACAGTTTAAATGTAATTTAAATCTAGTTACAAGATATGGAATATATAACTGTATATTGCAAAATAATAGTATAATATGCGTATACCTATCATATTTTTGTTTAAATATTTTATTAATATTTTTTAATGACATTATTATACAAAATGATTATCCACCATGGTATTAAAACGTATTATCTTAGTAAATGTAAGTTATTTAAAAATAAATATTAAAACACTATAATATTTCATACGAATACAGGTAGTTCTTATAGTTCTTATTTTTATTTTTCTAAAGATTATCTTTGTTATTAACTTGTTATAATTATAGTTACCTTGTATCCATATAGTATCTAGTATCTATCTCCGTATTTTATGGTACCCCTTGTGTTTTGTAAAATATTAAATAAATAAACAGCTTAGATATAGGTGAGATTTAAATTATTTTAAGACTTCGTTTTTCAAAAAAATATAGAAAACGAAAAAAAACATAATATAGACCAATTATTGGCAAGTATTAGTATTTAGTATAATTAAAATTAGTACTAAAGCTAAATGTTTAATAGCTCGCTGTTGATAACAGTAGTTGTCACTTGTCATTACTTATTATAAATTATGTAACACCCTTTAGATCTAAAGATAGGTCATATAGTATTATTTGCTTGAATTTGTTCTACGAATGGGTTATGCTAGATGGGTCTATTGTAGGTAGGTATATGAATATGATTTAAGCAAATTAGTACATTTACGCAAATCGTAATCTCAACAGAAACTAGAAACTAGAACAACATATTTTTATATTGTTAAAACTGGAAAACAAAATATCAGTATTGCAAACACGAAAATAGATTATAGAAACGCATATATACGTGTATATAAGCCCACTCTCGTATAACGTATATTCGGATTATAAACTATTTGTTTAAAAGTCATATAAAACAAAAAAAATGATTTCCTTTAAATATGATAATTATTATAATGAACACTTATCATGACGTTTGTTACGGTTTTTTTTTTAATTATTGATGTGTTTAGTGTCCAGAAAATCTAATTGAATAATATAGGTAGGAGATAGTAGTATTTAAAAAATTGAGACTTAATACTTAAAGTGTAACTTTTGATAATTAAATATTATTTGGAATACATAAATGCAATATTCAAAGACACTGCAACTAACAACTGCTCAGCTACATCAAAAGTCAAACTATATTCATTTAGATAAATGTTAAATAGATGGGAGCTTTAATAAATGAGGAAAATGTTCATATAGAACCATATTTTTCATTGTGAGTAGAACACCAATATATTTTGGTCTCAGCTATTTTGATACTATGTAATAAGCTATAAAATACACCAAATAGGTCACGCTATAGAATAATATGTTATATAATAGACACCTACCTAATTTACTAAATAATATCTAATGGAGAACTTTATAAGCCAGGAAAATATAAACAATTCTTATACTCAAAAATCAAAATACAATAGATAGTAGGTACCTACTTAAGTATTATGAATAAAAACAATATACACAAACAGAACGGTTGGATTGAATTGATGTAACTACCAACTTTAAAAGTAACAAATGTAAAAAAAAAGAAAGAACGGCAAAATTGAATGAGTTTATTATATTATGAATTATTATAATTAAAATTATTTAAGGAATTATTAAGGATTCTCAACTTTTTATAAAAATATGTTTTACTGGTATTCTACTATAGGTGCAATATATTTTACTCGTCACCGTATTTGTCCTAGTTTATACACCTCATATAATATTATATGGGTGGTAACTGTTCAAACCGTTACTTAAATAATATATTATATATTAGAGCTTTAAATTGTCGAAATATCAAAACCAATAGAAGGAAATGAAATCTTAGATTTTAAGTGCCACAAAAACATCAACTTAGTATTATTTTAATTTTAAATTTACCTAAACATAGGCTGGTACTTAAATTATAGTACACAAATAAATAATAATTTAATTACAGAAAATATGATACTGTACGTATATTACAAGCATTAAAATAAAAATAAAAATTTTCAGTTTTAAATTCAATTTTACTTATCAATATTATTTTTTCTAATTTAAATTTAGAATAATATATTGATTTTATAATTTTATGACAAGTACAATACGATTTAATTGTTTACTGTTTTATAATTAAATTTTAATCGTCATTTTTTTTCAATTTAAAATATCACTTACATTTTTACGATTTAAATTTAAATGTCCACCTACAGGAAACCAGTCGTAGTTAGCGCGTTCTATACGCATTGTTACGCACGGCTGTGAAATACTGAAATAGACATAAATAATTAAACAATATTTAGTTATTTCCTGCTTATTAGTTTAAGTTATTACCCACTGATGAATAATACCTATTGTAAATCTACCTATTACCTATTGTTTAAATTTAAATTAATCTTATTTATACTTGGAATCGTTTTCCATATACACATTTTAAAACGATTTTTATTGGTATTTAAAATCGATTTCCAGCCCTTGTACATTATCCATATTATTTGCATTTTTGTGTTTATCGACGAATTCACTAATAACTTTAAATTATTATAAATAACAAATATGGCATTTAAAATTTTTATTTTATGATTTGAAATATGATACTATTGAATGTTGATCTAAAAAAATTGAATATTGAACTAATATATTTAAAGTCTTAACTATACATCTTCCAGATGGCCCTTTAAAATTCTTATTTAAATTTATCAATTACATTTTTTTGATTTTCCAACAAGCAAAAAAATGTGCAAATAATAATTAATAATAAGATCAATATAAAATATTAGAAGAACATATTTAATTTAACAAAAAAATTAACTTTTTGGAAATTGTTTTGAAATAGTAAGTGTTTATTATTAAAACTGTAGAAATAGTATAAACTGGTATATTATTAAAATAATCACCTTTTATATTTATTATTTTTGTATGTAACTATTCTATATGGATATAAACTACTATTACTGAGGTTTATTAAATCAACATTTTGTTTTATTTTTTCCCCAAATGATTTTACATCTGAATATATTTTAATGATCGATATTTTAATTTTTCATACAACCAAAATATACCCATTTTGTAATTATACTTCATTGACAATCATAAAAAGAACTAGAATAGTTCATTAACCATTGATAATTGTATAAAATGAGACTATTTATGTGATTGACGTTCATTGACCATTGTAGGTAATTTATTAATAATAGGTACGATAGAATTTAAAATATATATGTAATATGTATATATATAAATAGCCCGAAGAAAATGACAACGCTTAAAAAAATTGTGATTGTTAAACTCCTTTTGGGTGTAACTCACTGCAGTAAGTGTAACTCAGCAACCCTCAGCTTAGCTCAGCTAAAATTCGATTTGATGCATGCTTGTATGCCTGATCTGCCCAATTAACTAATGACAACCAATAATAAATAAATACTATTTCTATTCATTATTATTTCTCCAATAACCAAAAGCAACCATTTATAAACAAATATTTCCACCGTAAATCTCAAAATCCTTGTTTGAGAACTTCCCCAGGCTTCTATTAATTTTTAGTAGCGTGATGTTATATACTGCAGGGGTGGCCAGCGAGAAGAAACTCGCGAGCCACCAAATATATCAGACTATAATATATAGCCTATAGTCTTCCTCGATGAATTTACTATCCAACAAAAAAATAATTTTTCGAACCAGTAGTTCCTGAGATTAGTTCAAACAAACAAACAGACACACTGTACAGCTTTATATATTAGTATAGATATATTAATAACATATTTTGAATATGAATGATATTATGTTATAATTATTTTTATTTTGAGTAAAATTATGAATTGATACATTTAATATTTACATGTATATAGATACCAGAAGCTGTCATACTTGTGACAAAGTACTAGAAGAACTTGAAAATATTGATGACGATACTGACACGTTTGGAGTAGATTTTGTAAAAATTAATGATAAAAGACTGGCTAAACATTATGGAATAAAAAATTTCCCAGCCCTCACTTACTTCCGAAAGAAAGAACCAATCATTTATGAAGGTGTGTACATTTAAAAATCATCTTTTTTTATTTAACTATAATAGTTTTGTACGATAATAATTATAGGAGACCTCATGGATGAAGACTCAGTATTAGAGTTTTTAACTAGTTTAGAAGCTTTAGATTTACCAGATCGTATTGAGGAAGTAAATTCAAAAATATTACAGAAGATTATTGAAGATACGGATTATGTAGCTGTTTTGTTCTGTAAGTACAATTTTTCATTAATTTTCTAATACATAATGAACCAAATAAAAAATATGATACAAAATTATTTAAGACATTGAAATCGATACATTACATTGAATTAGGTCCTGAACGATCAGAATGCACTTTAAAGGATATCCGTAAGTGAAATGGTTGTAAGCTGTTATCCCAATTTCAGCTATTTACCTCGGCGCCCCCTTTAGAAATGTATAACCTTTCATAGCTTTATCCATGCAATATAGCGAGAGCATTTATCTGATTTTTAATTTACATAATTTTATCGTTAATATCATGATTTTTGTTTCAGATAAAGCGGGCTGCAAGAAATGTGCAAAAGCATTACAAGAATTGGAAAATATTGACGATGAAGCAGATCAGCTAGGGATTGGATTCGTAAAAATACACGACTCGAGTTTAGCAGACGAGTACAATTTAGGGGACTTGCCGAAGTTGGTTTATTATCGGCATCAAATACCAATTGTTTATGAACGTCAGTGGTTTGTCAAAAGACACATTCATATTATAAATTAATAATTATAATATTTGTACCTATATAGTATATATCTATGAACATGGTTTTTAAAACATAACGTTTCTAAAAATTTAGATGAATTAACTAGAGAAGAAGATGTTCTCGAGTGGTTAGTACAGAACAAGTCTACAGGAGATGAAGAAGATGTTATTGAGGACGTTACATCAAAAACATTAGATACACTTATCGGTTCTGTTGATAACCTTGTTGTGTTGTTTTGTAAGATTAACTAGTACCTACATTTTTTATATTATATTAACGATCAAGAAACTATTGACAATTTTTCAGACGATAATGATGATGAAGATTCTTTAAGAGTTTTGAATGAACTGGAAAAAATTGATGATGATTGTGACCGTCATGGAATACAGTTTGTGAAAATTGAAGATCCACAAGCAGCTTCTTCATTTGGTTTAAATTCTGTACCTGCAGTTGTCTACTTTGAAAAACAAATACCAAACATTTATGACGGTGACATTGAAAATGAAGACGCTCTATTACATTGGCTTATTGATCAACTTCAAAAAGATGAAATTGAAGACATTACGAATGAAATGATGGATCGTCTTATTAAAGAAGGAAAAAATATTGCAGTTCTTTTCTGTATGTATTTGGCACTCATAAAAATATAGTTGTACTAAAATGTACAAATTATAATTTTTACTTAAACTTGTAGATGATAATAACGATAAAAAATCTCAAAAAGCATTAAATGAACTTGAAAACATTGATGACGAATGTGATACACTCGGAATTGTATTTGTGAAAATTGATGATGATGAAGAAGCAAAGCTCTATGGAATTGAAGAACTACCAGCTTTATTATACTTTGAAAATGGTGTACCAACACTCTACAATGGTATATAATATTTATTCATTAAATAGTCAAATATACAGTTGAATATTTTAATTTATATTTCAGGCAACTTGGAGGATGAAGACAAAGTATTAGAATGGCTTAGTTACCAAATAAAACACGACGAAATAGAAGATGTAACTGATGAGATGCTTGATATTCTAATAAATAAATTATCAAACGTGGCCGTATTGTTCTGTAAGTTAAAAATATTCAGTACTTAATAAAAATAATATTTTTATACAGAGGTTAATTTTTAGATGATAAAAACCAAAAAAAAAGCCAAAAGGTTTTGGTTGAGTTGGAAAATATTGATGATGAATGTGATCAAAGTGGAATCGCATTCGTAAAGATTTCTAATATTGATGAGGCTCGAGAATACGGCATAACAACAGTACCAAAACTTATGTATTTTGAAAAAAGAATTCCACATCTATATAATGGTGATTTACTTAAAGAAGAAGAAGTTTTAAGTTGGCTAATACACCAAAAAAGACATTCGGAAATACCTGAAGTTACAGATGAAATTGTCGACAAGCTTATTGAGTCTGAAGCTTACTTAGCAGTATTGTTTTGTAAGTACGGTTTTTAAATAAGCTGTTATTATTATATATCACAATAATCACAAAAAGGGAAGACATTTTGGTTATTGTTGTTTGTGGATTTGACAAATTGCAATTAATATATTAAATTTAATTAAATTTAGATATATAGATAAAGGATAACTGTTATATACTGAAAACTTAGCTTCGATTTTTACTCCTGTAAAAACAACTCTTCATATACCTACTTACATATAAGTATATTGTTAACATTTTATGATTTAAATTGTTTTATCAAACATGTTTTAAATAGATGATAAGGACGATAGAGAAGATATTCGTATATTAAATGAATTAGAAAATATTGATGATGAATTAGATAAAGAAGGTATTGTGATTGTACGGTTGGATGATGCGAATGAAGCTAAAGAGTATGGCATCGATCATTTACCTACGTTAGTATACTTCGAAAATAAAATTCCGGCTATTTATGAAGGTATTTCATTTTATATTATTGCATAATATAATTTATAAATTTGAATAATTAATATCACATAATTGTAATCTAAGGTGATCTTATAAACGAGGAACAAGTATTAAAATGGCTCATTGAACAAAAAACTACTGCAACCATCGAAGAAGTTACTGACGAGATTCTTAAAACCCTTATCGTTGACCATGAATACGTTTTGGTTTACTTTAGTTAGTAACTTAAAATAAATAAAGTATATATGTAATTATTCTTTATAATTTAAAATATTTATTTAATTTAGGTGGAAGATGTGAAGAAGGAGAAGAATGTGATAGCATTCTCGATGGGTTTGAAAATATCGATGATGAATTAGATGAAACCGGAATAGTATTTGTAACTACTGAAGATGCATCCATCGCTAGAGAATATGGACTTAGGGCATTCCCTTCACTAGTATTTTTTAGAAATAAAGAACCATTAGTCTATACAGGTGATTTGGAAGATGAAGATGAAGTATTGACTTGGCTCATAGATGAAGAAACTCTTAAGGTGCCTGGACGTATTGAAGAAGTTAATACTAAGATGTTGGAGAAAATATTAAATGAAAAACAATTTGTTGTTGTATTTTTTTGTATGTTTTTTCAACAAGCATACGTTGATTAAATACTAGTATAGTAATGTATACATTATTTTAGATAAAGAAGGAGACAAAAAAAGTCAAAAAATAATATCAGAGTTGGAAAACATTGATGATGAGTGTGAGGAAAAAAACATTCAATTTTTAAAAACTTCTGATGAAGGAATAGAAAAAGAATACGATCTTCCGGGTTTACCAACATTATTGTTTTACAGAAACAAATTCCGAAAAATTTACACAGGTGAACATTTATATACATAATACTACTATAATATATTTAATAGAGTAATTAATCAATTTAATATTGATTTATTATCTTAGATACTAATACATAGTAAATATTATGATAAGTGATAACATAAATATATTATGTTTAACAGGAGATTTGATGCACGAAGAAGCAATTTTAGAATGGGTTCTCGACTTGCACGAGTCTGAACCAGATTTTATTGAGAGTGTTGATAGAAAAACTCTGCAAACTCTAATCAATGATGTTGAACACTTAGCAGTTTTCTTTTGTACGTATAAAATATAATACATTTTAATACATACGTACAAACTATAATAGGTATGGGAATTTCCAATAAGTTATTGTTTGTAACCATAGTAATATTTAGAATATTAAAATCATTGTACTCCAGCTTTAAGTTACTTACAGATTCACAATTAACTGATTTTAATTTACCCATAGGCTACACTACGTATAGGTATTCCACAAATCGATTAAAATCGTCAAATGACTTAGGTTTTTAATTTTATGTATATTTATTTTTTCTTCATAAATCCTTAATATTATAAAAGTTGTATAGAATATATAACATGGCATAATTTGTACGAATCAACTACATTATAGTATTATACCTATATAGCTAAATAGTTGTCAGAGGAAGTTCTATCTTATAGTTTCTTAAATTCAGTGTGGCTAAAAACATTTAATTGAAAAGAAGTTAAATATATTGTGTTATTTGACAAAAACGACAGCCACTTATTAAATAAGTGTTCGAGTGTTTTGTTTTCTATAATAAAAATGTTGAATAATATTTACTCAAAATTAGGTATGTATTGTAAGTATGTAGGTATTTAATGGACAATGCATGGTCATCACCATATTATTATTAAAATAAATGCGTATATTTTTATAGACGATGATAAATGTGAAGCTTGTCCTAGTATATTGGAAGAGTTAGAAACTATAGATGATGATACTGATAAGGAAGGCATTCAATTCGTCAAATCAACTGATTCGAAGTTGGCTTCAGAAATTGGCATTTTTAGTTTCCCTGCCTTGGTGTATTATGAAACGGGAGTTCCAATCATGTATGATGGTAAGTTGTTGTAGTTAAATAAGTGTCAATTCTAAATAAAATAATAAAATGTTAAGTACAATTTAAATGTTGGATCAATGTAGTAATTACTTGATACAATACTTAATTGTAGGTATAATTATAATGATAAAATACTTTAAAACGAATATGTTTTTAGATTATTTACTACCTAGTATATATTAGGTACCTTTACTATAATATATTTAATTATATTTTATAATAATATGTATACTACAAATGAGATAATATCTTTAAGAATATTGCAATCATAAAATTAAGTTGAGTTAATTTTAAATTTAGTACTACCTACGACATTTTAATAAAGACAAATTTATTAATAAGTGTCATATGATGGGATGATATAATGATATTGTTGGTATATAATAATGGTATTATATAGGTAATATAATATATAATATAAATACAAAATACCTAAATAATTATAAAACATTTTTATTTTTATTGAAATAACATTATTTACAGTTGATGTACCTACAATGATATAAATAGCTCTTAAAAAAAATATTTTTTTTAATTATTGACTTTTAAAACTAAATTATTTTGTACATCATTTGTGTTTCAATTGATGATTATGTCCGAAGTATCTACGTATATTATGTTACCGTCTATATCGGAATTTTTGTCAATGTAGGTAATGATTGAGTGTCTGGGCGATGTATGAGTAATGCCGGTGGCACCAGACATGTTGATAAATGGCGTACTTACTGCATATTTCAGTAATTGATAAGTAAAGTCTTCCATCGTTATTTTCTTGAGTTGATTGGGTATCGATTTATCGCTCACGAACCTTAAAACATACAGTAGTTGCCGCTTATTGGACTAACGGTTAATGGACTTATTCGCCTATTGGACTCAAACAGACTAGTCCCAATTTACACGTATACTTATGCATATGGGAAACATTCATCTATTGGACTCACTAAACGTCAACTACTGGTCAATGGGATCATTGGGTCAATATTTTGAAGGGCATATTTCATAAATTTTTAGTCCATTTTATTTTGATGGTTAAGAGGACGCCACGCCTGCATGTGTTGTCTCCGTCTTTATTTTCAAATAACATCACAAATTTACGCTCAGAAATTCAAGTTTTATGCCGTTAGCTTAAAAATTAGAGTGAATCGACCTATTATGGAACTTGATAATAAGAACATTATCTGTGTTTTGTTTGAAGTTTTTTACGATAATTCAGTTTTTAAGTGAGTTATTCGTGTATTAAAAAAGGTCATTTAAAAAGGCTTCTAACTCACTTAAAAACTGAATTATCGTAAAAAAACTTCCAACAAAACACAGATAATGTTCTTATCATCAAGTTCCATAATAGGTCGATTCACTCTAATTTTTAAGCTAACGGCATAAAACTTGAATTTCTGAGCGTAAATATGGTATGTTACGCGTTTGTAAGACGGAGACAACCCATGCTATTTCATGACTTATCTCAACGATAAATGTTAAAAAATTGATAATAATTTTACAACATTCAAAGTCGTTTATTACGAAACAACATTTTTTAAAAAATAAAAATATTATATTTTTATATCGTTATAATTTTTGATGGGTTTTTTTTTATGAATGACAACATACATTTGAAATACATAATAATGAATACTTATTACTGCATGAATAAACTGAAATTGTTTATTAAAATGCGTACACGCATATACATATGTCATATATGTATATATTTTAAGTCTTGGTCGTTTGCAAATAATGGACTCAAATACTCTGGTCCCAAAGTGATTCCGATAAACGACGACTTACTGTATTACCTTTTATACTACCACTTTTCTGGTATTGTGTTGGAGGGGGGGCATTTGTTAATTCGAAATATGAATACTGTGGGTATGGAGATGACTATGCAAATTTCGGGAGTGTTCAAATACATACTAATTATACGTGTTAACTATTGGAGCAGAAAACAATTTTGAGATATTGAGACATGTGTACTATAGCCTCCACTTAATTTTTGATCGCACACTTAAACCATGCTAATTATATGTAAAATATTTTCCAAATTATTTTATTTTAATTTCCACATGTGATAGGGCCGAAGAAAACGAAAGTATTCAAATTGCCAATTGGTTAATTGATTGCCTTCTTAAATAGATATAATAATATGTTTTAATATGTTAGAATATGTTATAATATGTTTTAATATGTAGTAATGGTAATATTATAAATAATAACTAGGTAATAAGTACCTATATAGGTAATATCATAATACATGATTTGATCAATTTAAGTAACATATATTATATAGTTTTAATATTCTTATTAAATATACCTCAATTGATAATCAAGTTTAGTCATTTTATGTTATTTCTAAGCAATGTCAACATTGACTAACCGAATTAGCCATTGACACTATTTGACAGTAGGCAACAATGATTGGTCATTAGTCAATATACTCAATCATTACTTACAGAAAATTACTGATTGCCAACGTTGACAGTAACATAATATATTATAATATCAAATATATATACTTTTATATACCAGAATATTGTATGTAAAGTTATAGTTTTTCCTTTTTCAGTTTGATCAGTTTGATAGACGTTAAGATTCCCCGAGGTTAAGTGAGTGGTTAAGTGAGTGGTACCCCCATGTGTTGTCTCCGTCTTACAAGTGCGTAACAAGGCAACATTTACGCTCAGCAGATCACGTTTAACTCTATTGGTTTGAAAATTAGAGTGAATTGACCTCTTGTAAAATTTAAAGGTATAAGATTATTATCTAGGCAATTTTATAGGCTTTTTATTACATTTTAATTTAAAATGATATGTTATGAGTATTTTAAGACGCACGAACAATTTACAGTTTTATAATACTCATAACTCGCTTTAAAATTACAACATAATAAAAAGCCTATAAGGTTGCCTAGATAATAATCTTACTTTTACATTTTACAAGACTTCAATTCACTCTAAATGTTAAGCTAACGGACCTAAACATGATCTTCTGAGCGTAAAATTTGCCATGTTACGAACTTATAAGAAGAAGACAACACATGGGGGTGCCACGTCATCTTAATACAAAATATCTTTAAAATGTTCTTATGATAATATATTACGTAAATTATAATAGTAAGTTAGTAGGTAGGTAATATCTATTATAATATACATTAGACGATGACACTCTACAATGGCAATGTTGAAAGCTTCCAAGGAAATTAGAAATACAATGTATTATTAATCGTATTTATATATATATTATATATATCATTTTGTCATGGAATAGATTATCGGATTGTATATATAAGCTCGTATTGGGAATATTCAGATTACCCTAAAATTTTTTCAGGTTAACGCGAACGTTATTTGTGTGTATATTGTACAATGATATATAGTAGTCATGTAGATGTGTACCTACTGCTACACGCGTAAAATATTTATATCTATAGTCTATATTATAATAGATATAAACTCAATATTTATGTATAGATAATAGTCAATACGAATTATATGTAACTCAAGACACTTGCAATAAGTCGATACCTATATTATATTAGTATTTAATAATATTTCATATTTATATACGCAACACCTATAAATGTATTAAATACATAAATATAATTAAAATTAATATAAGTATATAAAATATAGTGTGCATAGGTATTGTATGTAATTTGTGTATACAAATAATTATTGTCTAAGATAAGCATTATATTCTATCAACTATAATATTATTATATTGTACTTAGGTAACCTTAAGAATAGCGGGAAAGTGTTAAATTGGCTAATTGATCAAAAAAGTAAGCGAAATATACGTGTTAATGTATTTAAATGATTTAAAATAACTGTATAGCATTTGTCCCAATAATCGTGATCGTTCTATCGTATTCAGGTGGTCAAAAAAAAACTCAAGATCCAAAAGCGACTAAATATTTGCAAAAAATTGAACATACAGGTATTTAAATTTAAAAAAAAACTCTCGTGCTTGAATGCGTAAAACTATTTTAATGTTAAATTAGACATCCGATGCTGATTTTCTAAAAATATAAATAGGCAGCTGTCCAGTAGCTAATTATAATAACAAAATATTTTTAACACGGGTTCTTTCTAATCCTATCTGGCTATCTAGATGGCCTCATTTCTCTAACGTGATGATTTTATAAAGATTTTTTTTCTTAAATATCATATTTTAATCATTTATATAGGACAGTAAAATATTTAAACAATTTCGCTGCTAAATGCAATATTAATTAAAAGTAGGTATATTATACTTTGTAAACATTGTATATACACATTTGTTATTAATCAATCCTATACCTGTATAATATACTTATAAAATATTAAGTCACATAATAATCCATATTTTATTATACTTAATTTACAAAACTCGAAATACTTGTTGCAATGCATCACAAAAATAAATCCCTACAATTATTATAAGCTTTTTGATTTTTTTAAACGTATATAATATTAGGTACAGAATCAAACATAGGTTATCTGGACTTTTGATTATATCTAATTAGTAATTCTAGGTTCAAACATATTTTGAACAAAATATTGCCAACTGTTAACAGATTTGCATCACGCCAGTAGGAGTTGACTGTTAACAGAGTTGATCTATATATAGGTGCATTTTCTACTAAAATATAGCATAAATATGGACAGAAATATTTTTTTATTATTTTGCTCGTTAGGTAGATCAATGTCCAACACCAACATTAATATTGATTTGGATAATCAGTTATATAAAATGTATAATGTTTATACCTAGTATGCTACTGTATTTAGAATAATTCTGTAAATGTTGATTTTATTTTTACTAACAGCTTGTCGTCTGCAGCATTTTGTTCCATCATACCCTTGTTACATTAAAGCTTTTGTTTAGCATTTATAATTTGAAATTTACGCATTTGTCACCTTTTTCGTTAAATATTTGTTCAGAATGTCATATAATTAAAACAATAATTGCTAATATAATTTGGATTTTGCTGCAGGCGACAGCTGTTTTTACATCGGTCTGGGAAACACTAAGACCAATACACCATCATTTGAGCCGTATCAATGTTGCCCAAAACCACAATCACCGGCCGAAAAGGAAAAACCCGAAAATAAAAAGGATAAGACAGGGAAGCCAGTAAGAAAAGAAACCAAGGACGATGAACAGAAAACAAACGGCAAGCCGGATAGTAATAACAAAAAAAAAGAAAAAAGAAACAAGAAGGATGGTAACGGAAAAGCTTCTTGGTGGTGGTGAAATATTACAAATATGCCTGGAATAGGACAAAATAAAAAAAAGAGGTCTTCAAATGATATATTTCTTAAATTTTTTTCTTACTTAAAATGAGGACTCCTAAACATAATCTATTGGTGTTTCAAGTTTCCAATGACCTAACTTTTATTTTAAGGGTATGTGGAATGTTTAAAATAATATAATATTATATATTATCTGATTTATCTAATTTATTAACTACCTACTCATTTTTCTTTAATTCATTTAAAAAAACATATTCATTACCCTTGTGGCCTTGTCCCATATTATATAAACGTTGTTACTATTATTTGACCAAAGGATTTTACGAATTAGGTACATTAAGAGGAACAAACGTGTATTTACTAAAAAAAACTTAAAATTCAACAAATATTTATATTGAAAAAAAAGTTATAATACAGATAATTAAGATAGTCATTAGTGTTTTATAATTATTGTACAATTTTTGTGGGGTATTTTCAATAAAGGTATTAATGATAAAAATAAAATATAATTATACTTAATAATAAATAAGCTATAATGTATTATATTAAATGAGCGTAGTTATGCTGCACTTAAATATTTTGTTTTATCCAATTTTGAAGTCTCCGGCAATCCTATTACCTACTGAAGGTAGATAGATAATCATAAAATCGAAGTTCTTTTTTTTACATTTAGAATTAAACTATTTATATATTAAAGACTTTTTAAAATAGTTATGGACATTTGACATCATTATAATATGAAGTTCAAAATGTATTGTTCTGCAAAGTTTTTTGAAACAGAACATTTGATATGATGAATGTAATTTTATTTTTTTTAAAAGCTGCACTCAACGCAATCTAAATGTAAGAAATTCCTTGTAAAATTATAAAATATCCCAAAATAAGTGTTAATTTTTATAAATAATAAAATAAATAGTATATAAGTAATTTTACTTAGTATAAAGCTTAAAGTTATTGAAATCCGTAATGAAATAGTTTAAATATTATATCGTTCAATAACCATAATTGTTAAGTATTTTCCATCATATCTAAAATTCTACTGATTCTAGGTATATAATATTATGTTACTTGACGTTGTATTTAAATATGTATGTATCCTCAATCATAAGGTGTAGTGTACCTCGTTAAGATTATATAGATAATCTTTAATCTTTATGGTTGATTAAAGATGAAATTATTTTCCCGATTTATATTTCATTCTGTCTTATTGAAATGTATAACTTATTCAATTAAATTGCTCATTTTTGATAGACTTTAGTTATTTCAAACAATGTATTGAAATCTATTTGAATTAATTATGATATTAACAAGAATGTATAAATATTAATTTAATAATATTAAATGCAATTTGAAAAAGGCTGTTATTTATCCCCGTGTAAATATGTAATAATTTCTCTGATTTTGCTCATGTAGAAACTAAATATAGGTGAATTTTAATTAGCTTGATTATCCCAAATTGTTTTTAACATCGTGTATTTCTAACATTGTTAATTATTTTTTTAATAAAACCATATTTATGTTTAAAGATAAGTAGGTATGTTAGTATTGTTACGTTTAAGTTTTCCCAATAAATTTGATGTGTAAAAAATAATGTATTAATAAAATCATTACTGTTGTTGAAGTTAAAATTTTTGTTTATTTGTTTATTCATAATTATTTTAATCGTTGCAATTTAGTTAATCAAAGATGATTTAGAACACCTATAGAAGTATTTTTAATATATAGATAAGACAGCTGAGGTAAACTTATAATATTAAGAAAACAATTGGTGCAATATATTTTAAATGATTTTAACTTAAAATCAATGTACGACATAACTAGTCACGATTTATTTAAAAATTACATATATTTAATAAGATTTTATATTTTTCTTTAAAATGATTATTTAAGGGGATATTGCTAATGAAAATGAAGTGCTTAGATGGATGATAAAACAAAAAACAGACGAAAGCATTGAACAAATAGATAGAGAAAAATTATTTGAATACATTGATGATCAAGACTTTTTAGCTGTTGTCTGGTGTAAGTTATTAAACAAAAATAATATTAACTATGAAAAAACATGGTTAACTATCTATACTTCAAACGTTTAGTCGTCGAAGGCGATCCTAGGGTGCCGAGAATTTTACGACACATTGAATTAATTGATGACGAAGCTGCAGAATATGGTATAAAAGTGGTTAAATGTAATGATAGATTAATGGCAAAAAAACATGGATTTCGAAGTCCTCCTGGTATCACATATTTCCGAAAGAGCAAATATATAAACTATGACGGTCAGTTAATGAAAATAATTGTACTTGCAAGTTATAATTCGTATTAGAAAGAGTATAAATTGTTAAGTGCGATTTAATTTTTTTAGGTGACATAGACGACGATGAAGAAGTTCTAGATTGGCTCACCGATCCATCTAACATGGAGTTGACCGAACACATAGAAAAAGTTAACAGAAAAATGTTTTCTAAAATTAGGCAGAGTTCAGAAAACGTAGCAGTGTTCTTTTGTGAGATTATTATTTATTATTTGTTTTTAATATTATAAACTTAGTTAATGACCAAAGTGCCTTGTATTTAGACAGTGACGATTGCAAACAATGCAAACAAGTACTGGCTGAGATCGAACATATCGACGACGATGCGGATGGTGCTGGAATTGATTTTGTTAAAATCGACGACAAACAGATGGCAAAAGAGTGTGGGGTATTTGCCTTACCAGCCATAGTGTTCTTCAAACTCGGGTCGAAAGAACCTACAATTTATGCAGGTATATAATAAAATACTATTCTTTATTATAAACAAAGTAGTTGCCCAACAGAATTTCAATAATGGAATTGGCATCTTAAAATCTTTATATTAAAATGTTTCAGGAAATCTATATGAAGAAGCAGATATATTAAATTGGCTACTTGTTCAAAAGAACCCTCACGGTGAAATAATTGAAGAAATAAACGGCCAAGATTTAAAGAACGCCATAGCCACTTCGGAATCAATCGCAGTATTTTTCTGTGAGTGTTAACATTTGATTAACAAAATGCCTGTCTTGACTCGTAATTGTATAATATTATAAAACGGTAATACTGTGTTATGGTGTCAAATATGAGTGTGTTGTTGTCCGGCATATAGGGAATGGAACGCTGTGCGAACGCTGTAAGGCGTCCAACACCAAAGCGTTTCGTAGACATCATAAAACACAACCACAAAACGGTGTCCATAGCGATGTGAAAAAAAAAGAAGCGAAACCAGAAATTGTGATGGAATCAGTCACCAGAGAAGATGATAGTAAAAAAACCGGTGTTGTTGATGAAGATGATGATGGTGATGATGATGTTGATGATGATGATGATAACGATATTGATAATGATAATATGGAAAATAATAATGATATTCATTCTAATATTCAAGGAAGCAATAACAATGGTATCTCACCTGGGAGAGGATATAGAGGCTTTGATAATAAAGCGCATTTGAGACTGCGAATCATTGGCTTTTTAGAATTTTTGGTGCGCTGAATATGCATGTATGCATTTAATATACAAGCTTGGTTTACAAACAAAATTTAATTAATATACCTTATAAGTTATAGTTTACTTAATCCTCACTTACAGGAGCTTATCATTTTACATATTATTTTGAACTATATATAGATAATAAAGACCGACTTTCATTTTATTATTGATAAAAGTTAAAAATATATGATTCAAGCAATATATAGGACTATTGACGTTTATTGAACTTGTATTTTATAATACAGTATTTATTTATTATACAGAATGAAGGTTGAAGCATTTTTGCTGCTATTAGATGTGTCATCAAACAAACATTTGATTAAAACAAAACAGACATTATTGTAAGACCAATACATTCACGTACCTCTAGGAATACAAATAAACTATGATATTCAAAAACAAAATGATAGATAATTAAAAGAAATAAATTGTAATATATTTACGACTCTTGTATGTAGGGAACTAGGGTTGATATTTTTATAAAAAAATATAAACTTGGAATAAAAAATAGATTAAAAAATAGTTGTATCAGGAGGTTTATATTATTTAATATAAATTTTTTTTTTTTTTTTAAATAATAAATCTACTCCTTTAATCTAAATAGCTTGTGGTGAAGTAGAGAGTTACCTTCTAAAAAAATAATAACAAATTAATTTAGTAATGTAATAATAAAAACAGAAGAAAAAAAAACACAGTTCATGTTTACATGTTAAGAATTGAGAAACGAGTTAACGTGAAATCGGACATATAGAATACTAGAATAGCAGGACAATTGAATAAAAGATAATAAATGATATATACTAATTATATATATTAAGTGACAACATGAAATTGATAATTAATAAGAACAAAAATGGATATATTATACCGAATGTATTAAAATTAATTACAATAATATTATACCTATTATAAATTTGAAAATACACAATTATAAACCAATTTTCTCTCATTAAAACAACCAGAATGAATATTTTTTTTGTACACAGTAAGCATTTGATTAAAGGAAGTTGGACCTAAATAATCAACAAAAAGTTGCCCAAAGGTTTTTTTTTGTATATTTTACCGGTAAATCATAATAGCTCTATGCTCTCGTTTGTTAGTAGAAATTAAAATGTTGTATTCAGATTTTATGGATATTTTTATTACGAAGGTTATTGCATTTTTTTGTATAACAGCTAATACCTTATTACTATTGTCTAATTCATCATATATAAATTTGGTTACAACATATTATAATAGGCATTCTCTGGTCCTAAGCCCTATCTAAAACCGTACCTACTGGTTTTTAGACAATAGTTTATTTTTTTCCAGGTACCTACGTAATCATTCTTTCAAAAATTTTAGAAAAATTTGTTAACATAGATATGGGTTATAGTTGCCTTGGTTTTCGATATCCCGCCCCCTCCCCCATTAAGTAGTGATTTGATTAAGGCTAACTAATGTAATATACATATACAATATACCTATGTATCCCCTCCAAAATTGAATATTGTAATTATACTTATAAATAAACTTTTACATTTTTAGAATATAAATGAGTCGGTCTGTTTTGTTATTTTTGACTTAGAATAGATGACTATAGATTACTAGATGACTTTCCGCATGAATATGTAGATTTGTATATACAAAATATCACAGCTAAAATTAGATATGACTGCAGTATACTATATCTATACGTCTTATAAATATTAATAATTATATATAAATCATAAATATTTGCAGATAGTGAAGATGAATGTGACTCGTGTACAAGTATTTTAGAAGAACTAGAAAATATTGACGACGATTGTGAACGACATGGGATTACTTTTATTAAAACACAAGTAATCCAATTTTTAAGCATACATTTCTTTTTTATGTTATTTTATAATCCACAGCAGCAAAATATATTATGGCTATTTTTGATGTATATTATTATATGATCTATACTTTAGGATATTGACGCTGCTGAGCAATATGGTGTATCAAAATTACCGGCGTTGGTCTACTTCGAGCATTCGGTACCAAATTTATTCGGAGGTAAATTACACATTGTCATTTGATAAGTATGTTAGCTATTTTGAATTTGATATCATGATATTATTATTTATATTCTATAAATACAGGAGATTTGAAGGAAGAAGAAGAAGTTCTTCAATGGTTAATAACACAAAGAACTGAGGACAGAATTGAATTGGTCACAAGATCGATGTTAGAATCAATTGTTCAAGAAACTCAATACTTGGCTGTATATTTTTGTAAGTAAATGTAAAATAAAACTGCATTAATCTTTTGATTGGTATCATATTATATTGTATAAAACCATCAAAAACATTTCATATTAAGAAATTACAAATTACCTATTTTATATTTTGCCTTTTTAATTTCACTTCTTTGGTACTACCTACTTATTAACTAATATTAGACTTGCTATAGAGTTGATTTGTCTTTAAATCCATACCAATAAATAAATAATAATTACATCGTATAATATAACATTAAGTATTAACTATCGGACTCTCCTTAGAAATAGATACTGATCCAAATAATTTGGTCCAAATTCTTCGTCTAAAGTCGTTTTTCGTATAGATATAATGATTTATATTTAAATAATTTAAAACATTCATTAGTTCGTTATGATAGCCTATTCTTAATAACATTGTATTTTCAAACCTTGCTACACATCAGAGGTAAATCCCGTATTATTTTTTTGTTCTACAGAATTGTGAAATCCTAATTATTTAAAACTTCCTTGTATGCGTTAAATTATTATTTTATATGATTTATTATTGTTAAACATCAAAAGTACAGATCCGATTTACAATATAACGAGATGGGAAAAAAGTCAATAAATAACTAATAAATCGTAGAAACTTAATTTTATATAATCAGTACTTACAAAACAAAATGTCATCTACTTATTATTACATATTATAATTCATAATAAAATGTCCATATATATTCTTCATTACAATATGTAATTTTAAAACTAAACAATTACCTTAATTTAAAAAATAAACAAGTTGAGAATACATTTAAAAAATCAATAAAAACAACAGTAATAATTAATAATAATTAAAAATAATAAAAAATCAATACTTACATAATATTTTAAACAAAAATTATAATAAAAATAAAAATTTAAGTTTGTACTAAAAGTATACCTATTTTACCAAAATTATCTTTCTGGGAATTTTTTCTGTTCAAAAAAATTTTAAATTACTTATCCGTTATCCTATACATTTCTACTATGTTAAATGTAATATATCAATTAACTTATTATTCTTTATTATTCTATGAAGATAAACAAGCATGTCATGTTTGCGATCAAATTTTAGAAGATTTAGAACGAGTAGACGACGAGTGCGATCTATATGGCATACACATGGTAAAGATTCAAGATCCACAATTAGCCAAAAGATATTCAATCAAGACATTCCCAGCACTCGTATACTTTAGAAACGGAAATCCTCTACTATATGATGGTAATCAATATGATTCTAAAGGCGCAAATAGGGAGGTTTAGGGGCTAATCCCCCGAATAATTTCGTTAGACCCCACCCCTAAACAGTTTTTATATATTTTTGAAGTTTATTTAATATTTTTATAATAGGGCTTCACCCCCCCCCCCCCCCCCAAAAAAAAAATCTCAAATTCTATTTGCGCCCATGATTCTGTGATAAAATTTAAAATATACCTACATATAATGTAGGACGTATTATTATCAAATATTATACCTAACATGTTTTTAGGTGATTTACAAAATGAGGAATCAGTTCTTGAATGGCTAATAGATGACGACAATCGTGAACTCGCAGATGAAATCGAAGAGGTAAATAGTCGTATGCTAGAAAGACTATTGGACGAATCATTACTACTAGCAGTGTTTTTCTGTAAATAAACTTCTATCGATAACAGTATGTTATATCTGCAATAATATATTAAGTTAAATTCAACAATTTTTAGACGATGAAAACTGTGAAGAATGTGATGGTATTTTAGAAGAACTAGAAATAATTGACGGTGAAGCAGATTTATTCGGTATCGACATGGTTAAAATATCAGATCCAGAAGTGGCTTCAAAATACAACATTATAAGTTTACCATCATTGGTATATTTTAGAAAGAGAGTGCCTGAAATATTTGACGGTAAAAAATTACAAATAGCGTGTTGACTGTTGAGTGCATTTTTTTTTTAATCACTGGTAATTTTATAGGAGATTTGAGTGATGAAGATAAGGTGTTATCGTGGTTAACTTCACAGGATGTGTTTGAAATAAAAAATGAAATTGATGAGGTAAACAAGAAAATGCTAACGAAATTACTTAATGAAAATGAATTCGTGACGGTGTTTTTCTGTAAGTACACGTACCTTCCACGATCGAAGTAGTATAAAATAGGTTCTCGATTACTCAAGGGTTACCAATAAAATAAAATTGGATTCGACACTTAAAAATACAAAATTATAGTTAATCAGTTAATACATTTAATATATTTTAACAATTTACGATAGATAATTAATAAGGTATAATCTAACCTACCTACTGTTATACTGTAATTATTACTAGGAAGTTTTATAAATTACTTATCTGGATATAGTTACTTATACGAAGTTACGTACCTACCTACTAATAATATTTAAAAAATATATACAATATACTATCATATAGATATAGTATCATATGCTTAAGAGTTAAGAGGAGTGAGAACGTGATTCCCGCGTGTGTTTGTATCCGACTTACAAGTGCGTAACATAGCACTTTACGCTAAGTAGAACACGTGCAGGCTCTGTTGGCTTAGAAATTAGAGTGAATTTATCTCTTATACAATTTGAAGGTAAGATTATTATCTAGGACCCTATGTATGCTTTTATCGATATTACTATTTTTTTAAAGTAACTTTTGATCATTTTTATTGTTTCAAAAAAGGTCATAACTTACTTAAAAATAATAGTATTAATAAAAGCTTACATAGGGCCCAAGATAATAATCTTACCTTTAAATTTTATAAGAGGTCAATTCATTCTAATTCTTACAACAACAGAGCTACAGTGTTCTGCTGAGCGTAAAATGGGCTAGGTTACGCAGTTGTAAGATGGAGACAATTCATGCGGATATCAGTGTATCACGTTCTCTTAAATGTTTTGTATAGTGCTGATTATGTAAATTAGTGTTGTCGGTCGTCACTATTCGCTATTCCGTTATTCATTTGAGAATCAAATATTCTTTCGTCCTACTCCATAAAATATAAATTTTAAATTATGTTATATTTTAATCCAAAACATAATTATAAATTAATAATTATTATACTGATGCCTATATTATACCTGAATACCTGATGGATTTTTATAGAACAGACAGTAACATAATGCGGTTTTGAGACCACTTAATTTCGTGATACTTACACAATATCTGTATACATACCTGCAATCATTATTATTTAATACCTAAATGGTTTTTTTAATTTTAGAAAATCTTGAATTATAATATTAATTATTAACGATGAATGCGTACAAAATAGCAACTTATATTCTAATACCTAGGACACAAATTTCGAAACTTACATATCAAAAATCCTTGGGCTGTGATTATATTGTCATATTGGAGTACAAATTATAGTTATTTGTAGATAATTCCTGACAGACGCAGATTGAAAAATACCTAAAGCCTAAAGGTCTAAATTGATTTGTTACCCATCTAACTATATTAGATTTTTTAAATTCATTGTCGTAAATATTATGAAGTATGAGTATCGAGGATCTATTGATCTAAACTTATACAATTATATTATAATATTAATAGTTAAAACTTAAAACCTTTAACCTATAATAGTAGGTATCTATAATGAATTATTAGTTATTAGTTATTACCGTCATTATGAATAACACGCAATACTGACGCAAGTGTTGTCGCATAACAGCTATTATAACGTTAAACGAGTTATGTTTTGTGACAGACGAAAACGATGTACCCGAAAGTGCCGAAGTGCTGTCGAGGCTGGAGACTATAGATGACGAAACGAACAACATGGACATCACTTTTGTCAAGATGGCCGACGCCCGTTATGCACGTAAATGGGGTGTTACTAAGCTTCCGGCAATTGTCTACTTCCGCAATAAGTTTCCGAGTGTATACAGAGGTTGGTATATTTTTTTAACAATACACAAGAACGAAGAAGTACATTTATAATAATATACCAGCAAGTGATTAATTTAACAAAAAACAATCATTACCTAATTCAAACTATATTTTTTCTTAAATGGTTTTAAGTTGAAACAAAACAAAATTTTAGATAGAAAACGTGACAAGCAATATTGAATATTATATTATATACGAGTATTATATTTAATATTTATTGTATAAAAATTAAACTTCGGATGAGTATCTATAATTAATTAATTAGGTATCACCTATAACTTAAATGCTTATGAGTTATGACTTATAAGTCCACTATAAACTATAACACTCATAAACTATTCTTCGAATATTTTGCTTTTTGCATAACAGTAAGGAATTAAAATATGCTCTGTCATTTAAAAAATGTAAAAAGTAAAAAATTATAACGAAATAAAAATATAAAATGATAAAAAGCGGGTAGGTGGATGTCACTCTGCTGTACAGTAGGTTACAAGTGGGTTACTATAATGGATGGTGTTAAATTTTAATTCAATTATATAATATCATTGCATATGAATTATATGCAAATCATTCTGATAGTGGAGACGGTTTTTCCGCAGTGGCGTCATTTCAGTGTTTGAGAGGGGCAACATTTTTACCGATCCAAAATAAAACTGAAGAAAACCACTCTCTAACAATTACATTACACTACATAGTACATTACAATTGCATTTTTATCTCAATACAAATAGCTTTCTAACATAATTGTATACTTAGATACTAGTGCAGGGTAAGGTAGATTACATCACCCTGAGGATAGCCAAAAAGGATATTCTTATTTTATGAATAAAACACAATATTTTAGTTATACTTTTATTTCACATTGCAGTCTAAATAGGGATTTACAGTCACTGTATCTTTACGCGCATTTACATCTGAGTTAAAATCGATCCACAATATTTCGTTCCAATTATTAACAGCCTCTTTCACTGTCTCGTCCTCATTCAACTTAATTATGTTTACTTCATTATTTATAAATTCGATTTTATATCCTCGCTTTGTTAAAAATTACAACCGTTCGCGGATTTAAGTAAAAAATTATTATTCAGAACAAACTCGCTTTTAAGTAAACTTACCGGGCTTCCGGTGTCGACTATAATAGCGTTGAACCTGACATGACACTCCTCCTCTTCCTCCACTGGTACATCAAATTTGCATTGAACTTCCATACGGCATCGGGTACTCGTCTGTTGGCCCTCTGTCACCCTCCACGTCGATATTCATCAGACCAGCTGACTTAGGTTTTCCATCATCATCGAATCGTTTTTTACTTGTTGGACGGGCTCCTATTTGATGATCCGTGGCCGCGCATTCGTAGCACGCGCCTTTCTCCCTTCCCGGATTCGGACACTGGAGTATCTAAGGTTACTATCATAAGCATTTTTTTAAGAGATAACAATAACTAAATAATTAAAACATATGTAGAGGGTTACTTAAATATATTACCTATTAGCTGCTACCTATATAAAGGCCCAAAACTAGCCCATACCCGGCCGACAACGGCCCGCTAATGACAAGGGGGGAGGGGGGCCAAATGCCCACCCTGCCCCCTCCACTCCCAAATGACGCCACTGTTTCAAATTACGTGCCTACCTACCTACTTTTATAATGCAAAAATTTATAATATTTGTAATATTAACGTGTCGACTGTTGTACACCATGCACAGGAAGTCTGGATACCGAACTCGAGGTGCTCGAGTGGTTGAAGAAAACCCGTTTCCGAGAACCAGAGCTCAATCTATTCATGTACGTGATGATCACAATATCGTTGGCTTTCGTACTCTACACGGTACTGCTTGTGTACGGGCTTCAAAAAGATCACGATGACTCCCGCCAAACCGACACCATCGACGACGTCGTCAACGTCGTCATGATAATATTAATTGTAATATTGGCACAATGTTATCGGAATATTACATAGGTACCTATCTAACTGGACAATGCACGTATCTCTAATAAAATACCCATCACGATACCTATTATAATATTATGTAATCACGCGTCGCGGATGTAATACGATCGAAATGTACGAGATCCGTGTATAATATTATGTGTGTAATATATTTTACAATAATATTATAATTTATTACAATACTATTATGATTTATGAATTACCCGATCAATACGTGTAGGTCGGTGCATCCAAATTGCATGCCAAAAAATGTATAAAATATTATACCTACATATAATAATAATATTAAGCATACCTACCTTCAGTAATCAGTACCATGTTGGCTATAATATTACATATTTTATAACTTCACAGTGGCACAGATTAGGTAAACTATTACTATGACTATTTTCATATTATAGTCTGTGGTTATTACGTTCTATTACACTTTGATCCTATATAGGTACTATATACCTAGTACCATAGAACAGTACGATCGTATATAGTATTTGGTAATTGGTCCTAACCACCTAATGGGTTATATGTACCAACTTAATTTAACTTAGGTATAGTTATTATCATGTTGAAGTGCCATGAAGTGTGAACCAAAAATCAAAAATAAATACTGTGTCTGTAGGTACCGACCAGTCGGACATGCCCCGTCTTACCAGTTACCATCCCTCACAAATCCAATTTGTCATCCTGAAAAAGTCTTTACAGACTGACCACTGCCTGCCAACGGCCACCTTAAGGCTTATGCATCTCGTATGTGATGTAGTCAATTATAGTCATCAGTCATTTTCCCGAGCCTGCCTAAGCCACTCTAGAGATCGCATTCTAATTCCTCCGTCTGTTCACTGTTTGCCACCACCCTCGCCTGCTTCTCCTTTCAATATGTTACGACCAGCTGTCCCGCAGAAGATGATAAACGTCTCTTCCACGCTTTGAAGAATTAAAGTCCTCTGCTCCTCTCGGCCTGGTTGGACTGAAGGTCTTCAAAAAAAGGCCCACACAGTAGGTATGTCGGATATCTCGGCTACCACTAGCAGTGAATGACCTACAGCCTAAATTTGTTTATTTTTGTGAGGTGTCTATAAATTACATGAGTCTAACAAAAAAAACAGATGTGGGAGGCCATGTGTGTAGCTCCTCCACCAACTAGTTTTTTTCTTATTATTAAATAAAACCACAGGTCAATTAAGTGAATAAAAATGTACTTACAAGTTACAATCACGATTAAAGACCAAAGTGGGTTATGATTATTTACTTTTATTTTATATATATTATCTATTACTATGTATATATTATTATATTAGACAACCATTAAATATATCTGAATTTAGAGAAAATAATATTGTATATTATGTTGATTTTAATGAAACTGGAAGTGCAGTCTGTTAACCAGAAATTTTTAACTTTATGACTAATTTTCTAATAATAATTGCTTTTAATAACATAGAAAGGCAATATTCAAAAATGATGGTTTTTACCTTTTATTTTTTACCAATTTTTAGGCTAAAATAATTCTAGAATTTGTGTTATGTATACTAATAAGTACTAGTATAAGTAGTATAGTATAAAGTGTTGACACATAACATGTTTCTGTACCTAAAATAAATTGCTAAAATGCAACATATTATAAAAAGTTAACAATAATTGGGCTTAATATTATATGTACACTAAAACAATGTTTACAACATACCTATTCAATTATTTAAAATTTAAATTAAAAGTATCTATTTATGTTCAAATGTAGAATAATGCAGAATTATAAATATTATTCAAACATTCAAAATTCTCTATAACAATGAAATTTAATACTTATTTAAGGTAAAGATATAGTAGCATCATGCCTTTTATTAAAAGCTCAAATTGAGAACAAACAAACAATACATAAAGAGGAATCTATTAAATACTAACAGTCGTTTTGCACATAATATAGGCAAAAATATTACAATTTACTATAGCCGATTGGTCAATTAAGTTGGCATATGATATGCTATGAAATTAAAGATGGTACCATGTTATCGTACTAAATCATTGTAAGCTAACACAAATTACTATTAATATTTAGTATACCCAACAAAAACAATTAAAATAAATATAATACCTAGTATGTTATATAAATGTTTATTGTATCATTTTTTTTCTTAAAATTTTACAAAAATACATAATATGCGTATGTACATATTTAACATTAAAAACTGAATACTTATTTAGAACATATTTTTTTCATTATAAAATAATCCTATCATTTATAGTATAAAAATAACAATTAATTTTAGATTAAAATAAGTAAAAGGCTTTAGTTGCCATCAAGTATATTATACTTTATATATTCACTTTAGTCTGTATATAAAATGCAGATCATGTAAATAAATAATATATAAATACGTTATGCATAAGAAGTGCTTTATGCCGGCTTAAACTTTTTCTCTGGTGGGGGTCTCATTGATGGCGATAAAGAGTTAGTAGGCTGAGGTTCTTGTTTAATATTTATATCTTGAATCATTTCCTGTTTTATTTCTTGTTTCACTTCTTTTTTAATTAGTTCATCTGTAAGCAAGTAAAAAAGTAATTATTTTATTATTCAAGCTTTATCGTAATCATAAACAAACCCAAATTACCAATATTATTTTCATACTAATATCACAGATATTGATGTGCACATTGAATACACTACCCTCAAATCAAACACTGTACATAATAAGTACTAAGTAGTTACTTAAACTATTTTAAATTGTATAACTTAATTTTAATTCTAGAAAATGTACTTACTTGTTTGTTGATTATTTATAGTATTTTGAGGTGTTGCTGCAAGAGCTTGAGGTAAAGGTAAAGGAAACTTTCTTGTTAATTCAACTAACAACATGTCTACTCGTAATCTTTGAAATTGGGAACTAGCTTCTTCAATGTCTCTCTTGCCGGTAACCTTCACTGGAGATGGTGGAGGAGCTGTTACAGGACCAGTTGGCTGACCAGGTCTACGGTTTTCCCATGAATAACCTTTAGATGGATGAAATCTAGCTAATGAGTTTAGTTCTTCAAATGCAGTCTCTAAATGGTATGCTGAAGACATCTAAAAAAAACCATTTTCAAAAATTTTAATAAAGTATGTACTATAAAAAAAAATTCAAAAAGAAGCAACTATGTTCCATTTTTTCAGTCTATTAAAAAGCTTACTATAATATGTCTGTACTCTATTAAAGTTTAGAAATACATTTGGCAGAGACCATAATTCACCAGACAGTAGTACGCTTGCTGAGTATTGAACCATGCTTCTTCAGCTCTACTAAGTACATTTCTTAAGTTGAATAGAGTATATAATATTGTAGGACATTATTCGACATAGTCTATTAATAAAAACCAGTTGATCTCTTTCCATCTGTCTATTACAAATGGAAAGCAATCTCCCAAAAGTATGGATGTTAAATATTTGGAATTATAATTTAGCCTAAACATCTAATTGATATAACTTGGCTATCTTGTTGTAACTTGTATGTGATCTACCAACAACATTGATCTACAGCAATATTTAAGTAAGTAATATTATATTCGAAGTAGATGATGAAAAAGTGGTTTTAATGACAAATTAAATAATGCTCGAAATTTAGTGTATTTAGTGTTATTATAAATACGTAATAATATATCATTCAAAATTTGAATTACCTTGGCAAATTATGAAATGTACACAGTGCTTAGTGATTTATCACATTTTATAAAATGTCTAGATACTAAGTATTAAATATATTATATAATAAATTATTAATAGATTTTATACTCTAATTTTAACACACATATTGCACCTAACCCAGTGCCGCTCTAACCACCAATAACCCTAGGGCAACAATATTTGACGCCCCTCTCCCTCCCACAAAAAATCTCGATTTCACATTTTTAGCTTATAATTATTAACCACATACCTTAAATATGTTTAATACTTATTAATTAAACTTAAAGGTTCCTACTTATTTTTTATTATTATTATTGGAATCATATTTCAATGATTTTTTCGAAGTTGACACCGATTTCATTATTTTGGGTACATTACAGAAAGAAAATATACATAACTATTTTCACAAATTAGTGGATTTTATTATAAATCATACGTTCTGCGTTTCTGTGTGTGGCGTGTATAACAGTTAACATTGTAAATTGTACAAGTGAATATAAGTGAAAAAAATATACAGAATTCAGTCAAATTACACTAACTCGATTTATTTTAAGAAGTAAAATTGATAATGAGTTGGTTATAAGTTATAACATCATTAATATACATCTTTGCGTATAATATTTACAGTACCACAACTACCCGAAATGGGGGTTGTTGATCACTGAGGCCCATAGACTGCAGCGGCCCCAGGCCAACTAATAATTTACTATTTTCGTATTTGATAACAAATATCAAAATCACATTATTTCAATGTATTTATGTATGAATCAAATTTCACTGTCAGTATAGATATTTGATGTATTATTGAAATATTATTCTATAAATATAAAATAATGATGACATTTCTCTATATTCCACCAGGCAAATTAAAGGAGGATTATTAAACACAACAATTAAGGACCTCATTTTGCTTATAATTAAAAATGGTTTATGTAATCCATACTGCGATGTTCTTAAATTTGTCGACTACAAAACCAGAAAAAAAATCTTTTTTGAGTGAAAAAAATATTTAATACTACCAAAGGAATGAATTAGTTTAGTTTATAAGTATATCACTTAATTATTTGAATGATGTGTATACATATTTAAAATATATTTCATGTAAATAAATTACTATTGACGTAATCTTATTAGTTATAACTTATAAGTATTAATATTTTTATTTGTTTTATGAATATTGAATATATATTATTGAAGGTATGTAGTATGTCGCATTAAGATTTAACACATTATTTACATAATTTTATATTTAATAATATACAATTTGATAAGTACTCATCTTTGATATTACAGTATAAAAAGAAAATTAATACCTAAAATAAAAACACCAAATTTTTCTTTTATCATTCATTTTTAGTACGCCCCTTAAATTCATAATACTTTAGACGCCCTAGGGCACTTGCCCCATTTGCCCCCCTCCTTAGGACGGCTATGACCTTAACCCTAATATAGGAAATATTAAATATTAATATATTATGAAGTTATACAAAAAAAAATATATATTTATATTATATATTATAACATTATCAAAATCTTACATACCATGTGAGAATTAATAATTGAAAGAAGATCTGGAGCTTGATAAACTATTCCAGCAACAATGTAAAAATCGGCAATTGGTGTAGAATGTGTTGGAGAATGTCTGTGTTGTTTACGTACTACATACAAAATTGGTTCTTGCACATGAAGAAGACAATACTCCAGTCCAATCATATTACTAAAATAAAATGTTTATAAAGAAAATAAAACGTAATATTAAAATATTCTTATTAGCGCTCTCTTACTTAATAATGCATTTTTAAACATTTAAAGCACTAGGGCCAAGTTTTTAAAATTTCTAAGCATTTAAACATTTTTTTAAGGAAATCTAGCCTATACAATGATGTTTCATTGAATTAGTGTAAAATGTACATTGAGCCTTCTTCAAATAATTAGCACATATCAAATTTTTGAAGTCCTGCAAAAACACTGCATACAAGTATAATAATTGTATTCTGATCAAATGTCTATAAATTATAATTAAATCAAAGCTTTATGGCAGAGAATAATATCAAAACAAAACTCCATGTGGCATGTATACATTTCAAAATACATGTGTACAAATTAACTATCAATATTAATAGATGTTAATGATCACCCAATATTGAAAATTATGAAAAATAATTTATTATTAAGACTTAAGTACTTTAATAAATATTAATCGTTATGACTCATGGAAAATACATCACCAAACCTAACTAGGAAATTTAGTTCAAATTAAAAAATAAAAATACATAAATTTGACTTAGGTTCTTACCTCAACTGATCCATACTGAGCCGTTGCATTTTAATAGCTTCATTATTACAACTTCGATCGTAAAATGGATTACTACGTTCCGAGAAGTAGTCTAGTATGTTACTAGAGTTGAGCATCGGAATCCAATTACTATCATGCCAAGAAAGACCCAAAGGATTATCTGTGAGATAAAATGGTAAGGTACAAATTAATGGGGAAAATTAATAATAGTGAATGACTAACAAATTATAATTTCAGTATAGACATAACATAATGTTTTGCTAAAGACTTACCCGGCAAACAGCCCACTCCACGTCCCGGAAGCATTATTCAACACGTTAACTTATACAGTTTGTCACAAAAATTTAGGAAAATTCTTTAAAAAAGCTTATGAACTTTCTGAGAACGCGGACATAATACACTTACGTTGATACTAGTTAGATAAAATCAAATACTATACATTAATACTATTGCATTAGATAAAGCTGTAAATATGTAAATAATATAGTGAAGATTATGAACTTTAAAATTAACTTTAATTTTTAACACTAACTATTGACTAAAGCATGAATAATAATTTATAATTAAGTTAATATTTAAT